TTTTTTTTCAATTTCAAATATTTTGCTGAAACATATTTCCATATTAGTCAAACATGACATATTCAGGATCCAGGATTTGATGTTATGAGGTGCTCCTCAGAATTAGGAGTTGGGAACCATATTTTGACAAAAAATTGGCTTTTTTTTTTCTTCTGTTTTTAGGGGGCTGTCTGCACCTGAGTTATATATTGTATCAAGTTTGTTTAACATCTAATGCAAAACATCTTTCATGCTATCAAACTTTTGCTTTCATACCATCATTTGACCTTAACCATTGACCTCTTTACTTCCCAATTTAATAAAGTTCACCTTTTTATATCAAGGATTTAGCTACATTTGATGAAAATAAACAAATTCAAGGTTAGTCATGTCTACAGTACAAGCCTTATGCATTACACCCTATATGTGACCTTGAACTTTGACCCATCTTGTCATGACCCAATACTGAGCAAAGTGTCTGTTGTGTCTATAAAGGATGACAGACAAATGAACATGTGATCGTAAGATCATGTGATACAAAAACAACTAACTATGAGTAATAAAAGCCAGTACAGTAAGCCTATGGCCATATACAAATTATGAGTTTGTCTATCATTTAAGGAAATAAATGTATTTTCCCGTAAACTTTTCCTTAGTGAGAAATGTCACTGACGGAAAGTGATTGATTTGCAAATTTTATTACATCTAACATTGCAAAACTAGGTCAGTCATAGTACCACCTCAAAAGCGAAATATGTGTATTAAAAAAATTAAAAGTACACTGTCTGGTAAATTATGTCTGAGGTTAACAGTTATATAAAAAATTATAACAATATTTGTTTTCTTATGTTATCTACATTAAATTTAAGATTTCAAGAAGACTTCTTCATCATGCCTCACAGGAAAAACATCAAAAGTGATTCAAATGTTAAAAAGTCAGTGGATATCAAAGGGATTAAGATTAAAAGATAAACGACAATGCATAAAACACCAAACAGAAAACTAAAGATTGAGAAACACAAACCCAACATAAGACTTGAGATGAACTTAAAGAGATCTTGAATGGTAAGCAATCATCGTCTAATAGTGTCGCCTATAAAACGTTGAGTGTTATTTAATTGATCCTACCTAGAAAACCACAAATATGAGCACCTGGGTGTTTCCCCTACGGCACGCAGCTGAGTAAAACATCTTATATATAAATAAAAGATAGATGTGGGATAATTACGTCAATGAAACAGCATCTCAATGATAAAAATAACCAAAAAGATATCTCAGAAAATTTGGGTTTAAGGACAATTTGAATACTCAATATAGATATTTAACTTATTTATATAGGGGGGGGGGGGGGAGGGGGTGGAAGCACAGGCATTTGTCTCTGAAAAAAAACACCTATATACCTTAATCTTAATATGTAGTAAGGTATATAAAAACAATTTTTTTCAGAGACAAATGTCTTTGGGGTGAAGTTAATTTTTGTGTTTTTACATGTATTTAAAAGTACATTTTCTTACCATAGATCAGCATGTATTGAAGATCTATAAGAAAAAAAGAAATTTTCAAATACATTTCTACACATGTTGCAAATCAACATTTCTTTACAATGATATATCATAAAAGTATTTTAGCATCATATATATTATGATACTGAAGACATTTATGAGTTTAAAAAGTAAAATTTCTTAAAAAAAATAAACAAGAGCTGTGTTTTGAAAAAAAATGTTATATCTTTGAAAAACATTAAGTAAATTTTATGTTGCAACTAATTTATGACTGCTGTGAATATAAGATTAGAAGAAAACATATCATTTAATAGTGAGAAAACACTTAGAGGTACTAATTTTTGTGAATTTTAATGAATGGTAATACACAACAATTTGTATTTTATCCCTTAATTTACTATGTACAGACATATAAAATTCTGAAGATTGGAAAGTACAAAGTCTGAGTCACAGTCTCGTCTTAACCTTGTGTTCCCTCGTGCTCATATCAAACCACAACCAAATGCATGATATTTATTTACCTATCAATCAAGCATAAAGTCTGAAACTGTAATTTCAAGAGCTTGCTGACCCAGGCTCAAATGTTGAAATTAGCATATCCAAGACTCTACTATTAAAATTCTAGGCAGACTATAATGGATATATGTATCTTGGATAATAGTATCCATCAGATATTTTGAGTACTATTTCCAAATGGCCCATCAGAAACCCATAGTGGTTAGAATCAGGGACTTGCTCTATTTTTAATTAATGATAATTGTTTTTTCAAATATCAGTAAAATTTAAAACCAGGAAAAAATATACATCATTTGATATGATTAAGTGATAACAAGCTGCAAATCTCCAGATAATGTGATAAAACTACACAAAGAAACAATTGCATAGGATTTCACATAATTCATTCAATAATTATCTTAATAGGAGTTTGAACACTTTTATTTACAAATACTTAGGAGATTATAAATGGGACTAGAACCAAAAATAATTCAACTACCTCAATACTTTTTTTTAATTCTAAACCCTCCACATAGCTGCCAACACACCAGTTCTATGGGGGGCAGCTTTTTTTCCTTTGAAAATTAAAAATCTCTCCCTTTCGGTCTGTCATATGTGAGATAAATCAAAATATCACCTTATTTTAACCCCATATATAATTTGAGTTATTTATACATATTTTCTGCAATTGATTTTCACTGTATTGCAAAGATAATGCTCATTTGCATTGTAAAAAAAACATCAAAGGTCATCAAGAATGTTGTTTTAACGAATTAGATCCATGTATAGATAATTAAATATTATCAGTTCGTGCTGAAATATTAAAATACTCTGCATCTTAGCACAAACTTTTGATTGAAAGAACAGTATAGGATTGTATTTTATACGCTTTAAATAAGTTGCAACTGAAGTAAATAAAATGCTTCGCTGAGCGCAGCCTGATACGACCGCAGTGGTCGAACCCTGAACAGTTGGGGCAAATTTGGACACAATATTCAAGCTTGATACTGTCTGAATTTGGATTGTGATCAAATTTTTGATAAATATAGGTTTCTGACACAAAATAAATGTGGTCAAAGATCTTACAAATCTATTGCGCAATACTGTGCAATTGAAGATTACTTCTTGAAACATTATCAAAAATTCGAAATTTGAAAAATTTTGAAAAAAAAATATGAATCCCTTAAAAAAATTGGAAAAAAAAATCCCCCCCCCCCCCCAACTTTTTGAAACCCCAAAAATCAATCCCAGCCTTTCCTTTGTAGTATGGAACATTGTGGTACAATTTCAGAGAGATCCAAACACTTAAACACACGTTATTGTCTGGAAACTAGAAAAATGCTTGTTTTTGGCCCCTAATTCCTACATGTTTGGGGCAATTAACCCCAAACTCAATCACAGCCTTCCCTTTGTTATATGGAACCTTGTGGTACAATGTCAGAGAGATCCATACACTTACACACAAGTTATTGTCTCGAAACTAGAAAAATGCTTGTTTTTGGCCCCTTTTTGGCCCTTAATTCCTAAACTGTTGGCCCCATAACCCCTAAAATGAATCCCAACCTTCTAATTGTGGAATTAAACATTGTGGTTCAATTTCAGAGCAATCAAAATACTTATACACAAGTTATTATCCTGAAACTAGAAAAAAATGCTTGTTTTGGGCCCCTTTTGGGCCCCTAATTCCTAATCGGTAGGGACCATCATCCCCAAAATCAATCCCAACCTTCCTTTTGTGGTATTGAACCTTCTTAAAAAATTTCATAGAGATGCATTCCCTTAAACTAAAGTTATTGTCCGGAAACCAATGTGTCTTTGGACGACGACGAAGCAGACAACAACGACATCATACCATTATACGATCCCAAAACATTTTTTGCGGTCGTATAACAAATACCATCTTGAAGTTTCAATATTCAGAGGTTTTTGAAAGTTTAAAAGCAATATTAATGCATTTGATTTAGTACAGTTTCCTTTTGCTTAAAAATGTGCCATGATACAGAGGGGGAAAAAGTAGAGTCAATTGCTTTAAAATTCAGTGAAATACAAGAAATTATACATCTGTTATAAATGTTTATTTTTTCATTTTTTTGCTTGTTGAAATTTTATTTTCAAACACCATCTGGGATGGAGTATAGTTATTTTTTCATTTATTTTCAATGTAATACATCTTAAAAATTACTGTATAATTAATACTATATATATATGTATATGCTCGGAAACGGGCCCTTTAATTGGATTTATTAAAATATTCTTATTCTTAAAAAATATTCTTATTCATATATTTACAATAAATGTGAACTAATATAACATACATGTATCTAAATAGTCATTCTGGTTTAATATCATTGGATTTGTCCATTGTTTACTCTGAATTGATGGTGCTTCAAAATTGTGACCAGTTTGCATATAATAAGAAAGTTTGTGTCATTAATAATTGGATGACTTAAAATTGTAAACAAAGAGGAATAACTCTGACAAGTTTAAGAAATAGGCTCACTCTATCAAGAGATATGACTTGAATATTGATTATTTTCAACAGAAATAACAAAAAACATTTCACAGAAAACATACAATATCTCTTCTTTTCCATAAAAGAAAAAATATTTCATTAGACAATTATAAAAATACACTTTTTAATAATACTTAATATTTATTTTTTTCATCCATATATTAGCAAACAGAAAATCCTAGCAACAACTAATTTCATACTTGACCATTAAAAAGCAAGGTAGGAAGTTGCTGACCAAATACAAAGTAATTTTGTTCAGTAGTACTGAAGGAAACCAGAGAGCAGGGAGAGATTCTAAAGCAACTGCCAAGTGCGGAGTTGGAACTCACAACCTCATTGTTGACAGACTGGTTATACTGTAAATGAACTACTTAGACCACTCTGCCACTAAGGTCCCTCAATGCAACTAATAAAGTAATGTTTTATTTCTGAACAATACTGTTGGATAACTTTGATAACAACATTCATAAGAAAAGTAGTAAATTTTTTTGTGAAATGAAAACTGAACTTACCTGTGGGTCAGCTAGATATACTTGTACTTTGGGGTTCTTTTCTTTCAAGTAAGTCCCAACACCTAGGAGATAAGTAAAATGCTGTAATTATTCTAATCATGTGCCTTTCATCGTTATGATCTTTTACAATTTTTCATCAGTATAAAGGAGACTTAATAAAGCTTACTTTTGTTAAACGTAAAACTGTCAAAGGGAGGGGAAAAAAAGACCAAAAATAGCATGACAAACAGATTATCAGGTTTTCAGTGTATAAATATCGTAAAATATCAGTTGCTTAACACAGTTTTAAGATTTTGAGCTCTTACGGTACACTCACTGCCAAATTGGTTCACATTATGGGTGGCAGCTGATATTTTACGATATCAATGTGTAGAAAACCTGATAATCTATACTAATCAACTATTTACTGACATTATCAAAAATAAAAATACATTGTCAACCATTTACAGACATTATCAGCCATCAAACAGACATTGTCCAGCCTTTAACAAACATTACCAACCATTAATAGACATTATCAACCATTAACATACATTTTACAGCCGACCATACAGTATGGGTTTTTCTTGTTGTTGAAGGCTGTACAGTTGCCTATAATTGCTTACATCCACTTCATTTGGTGGATAGTTGTCTCATTGGCAATCATACCACATCTCCTTATTTTTATATTACCAACCATAAACAGACATTATGTAATATAGATACAATGAATAAGCGTTGATTCATGAAAAACAAACCATTCGCCCTCCGGGCTCAAGCGTTGAATAAGCGTTGATTCTTGAAAAAGAAACCATGATCCCCGAGGGCGAATGGTTTGTTTTTCATGAATCAACGCTTATCCATTGTATCTATAACTTAAACTATTGTGTTAATGTCTTTTCAAAATTAAAGCCTTTTCTTAATTAGAAGGTATTGTAAGTGAGTTTAAATAACCATGGTATCATGTTCAACGATGCATTACTAAACATAAGATCACAACTAACTGGTTAGAAAAATATAAATATAACACAACACATCTGTCTTTAAATTAACAGGCATCTGCATATTAACTGTGTCTACAAAATAATACATATTCGAACTTATTCTTATAAAATTTAGAATGGAAATGGGGAATGTGTCAAAGAGACAACAACCTGACCAAAGAGCATATATTAAGTATAAGTATGTTACCGAAATTTCTAGCAAGAAGCCTAATTCTAGGCACATCACGATTTACTCGCATAGGAATTTGCGAATAAACATTTGTAAAATTATGTAGTAAAACAGATGAAATCTTACTATATTTATAAAACAAAAATGGACATATTGAATGTAATCATTTCCGTTTCACATATGTGAAAGAGCCAATAATAATCCAAAAATAAATGGTAAAACTCGCTATTATTACAAAAATATCCACAATTACATACAAAATAAGAAAAAAACAGAAAAACTAATAAATAGGAACAACAAAGAGAATACAGGGATTGAACCTAAAACGACAAGTCCCTACCTTTAAGGTGACTCTTTAACTCATTGATCTTAACCATGCTAACCTCGCGGCTATCAACTTATACTATACGATTGCCTATTACGTATATATAAAGGTACAAGCCCTGTGTGTCCGTTGTATGTCATATGTTCATTTATATATATAAAATAGACATTTATATTGTAACCAAGTGGTAGCTACAGGTTTCGTCGATATGTTGATGTCAGTCACACATAACAGATTTCAATGACGGGTTCGATTCCCAGTGGAGGCATATAAAAATTAAAAAATGAAAGGTAAGTTTTTAAATTAATTCCATTAGTGAACAGAAATCAGTAAATTAGCAAATTCAAACTTAATGAAATTAGGCACACAAAGGAAATAATTGAATATAATTTGGTGAATCCATTTCAGCGACAGATTTAGAAAGTGTTGATTCTAGAAAAAGAATCCACGGTATAAAATGAATAGGCTGACGTCACGACAATGGTTTAACAACTATTAACAAACTTTACCAACCATTAACAAACATTGTCAGCTAGAAACATACATTATCAACCATGAACAAACATTATCAACCATTAACAGACATTATCAACCATTAACAGACATCATCAACCATTAACAGACATCATCAATCATTAACAGACATCATCAACCATTAACAGACATCATCAACCATTAACAGACATTATCAACCATTAACAGACATTATCAACCATTAACAGACATTATCAACCATTAACAGACATTATCAACAACAAATGTATAGCTTACCTCCCAATGTTCCACCAGTTCCTGTACCAAAGACAACAGCATTCACTTTACCACCTGAAAAATCATATTTAATCTAAAGGTATGTTTTTTTGTACATTATACGGATTTAACATTTACAAACTCCTGTGATATAGAAACTACTTGATGGATAGGACAAACACTATCTGCCGTACCTTAAAAAGGAATCTGGGAGACATAATACAGCATTTGAAATAAAAAATGTTTGTTACAAAAATACTTTGGTTTTGGTTTTTCTAACTTTCTTAGAAAAAGAAAAAAAAAAAGAAAAAATAAACCAAAAAAAAACCCCAAGAATAACAGTTGACAGACTGGTCAAAATAATTATGACGTCTTGAAAGGCTATTATATTTTTTTGCTTCGACGCTTCTATTGATAGACCTACTCACAGTATCACAAATTCATGTTCTGTGAACATAGAAATGGTGGTCAAAAATCTAATATGGCCTACATATTTTTCAGGGTTTAAAAAAAGAAGCAAACCAACAAACAATTTAAATGTACCTTCTGTTCTACCTACCTGTTTCTTGCCAGATTTCAGGGCCAGTCGTTTCTATATGAGCCCTTTTGTTTGCTGTGTTATCAAACTGATTGGTCCAAACAGCATTCTCTATACTCTCTGCAAATCTTTTAGCCTTTCAACACAATAAAAAAAACTTAAATTACTACAATTGAAGACCAATAATAGCATAAAGTAAAAAAACATGATATTTTCAAGATTTTAAAGTTGACAGTAGTGACAAGGAAAGATTAAAAATGTGACTGCATTGATTATGCACACTCAAGATCAGAGAAACCAGTTTAAATTAAGCTATATTTAAAAAAGTGAGCTGTCAAATGACTGTTGTATCAGGATAAACAATGAAAACTGTAATTCAGAAATTATTGTAAACATTTATTATTTCAATTTTGACATGATAAACCAAAATTTGAGATTATTTATTGCAATTTCAGGGCTGCATACAGATTTATTATACCTCACTTATCATTTTCTATATAAAATAAGTACACAATATTTTCACTATTTTTCAAATTGCAAGCGTTGAACTAATTGACCAGTCAATAGTTTCTAACTATTTGCCCTCAATGAAATTATCTGACCGCAAGTGTCATTACATTTCGCAGAATTTCAACTGCAGCTACGGGATTGGAGGATGTTGAGAATACAGCTGTCCTGTTTTACCAATTACGTTTAGGGTTAACGTCAGTGCGGGATGTAGCCTTAGCATTCAGAATATATATGAAGTAAACGTTAAACAGTATGGTTGTGTTTCTGCTTTGTATATTACGATAGTTGCTTAAGCCTCAACATTTATTGTCTGTTGTCTCTTTCGGTATTATAAAACACTTACTGACTGGATATTTGTGAAATAGTAAGTTTATTGTCCCCTCGGATACAACTATTGCCTTCAGCTACGCCTCAGGGCAATAAACACAAATGGCATTGACATTGCCTTGGGAATGAGAAGCTCCCACTAGCTTGCAGAACCAAAGATAATCTTAAATAAAAAAAAATAAATGGAGAAGGTTTCCATGGGACACAGGTGATGCCCCGCTTGCATATTATGTTATAAACGGACATAACTAAAGATTTCACTCACCCACATTCGAACTTGATCTGTGTTTTATGGTTATAAGCATTGTGTATAAGTTTCATAACATTTGGCTGAGGCAAACTAAAGTTAGAGAATGGAAACCAATTTTGGGATGCACATGTGTACAGACGTACGTACGGAAAAGAGTAACACTTAATGCCCCCTTAGCCTAGTGGCGGGGCATAAAACATGTTGATTCTATATGGTTTGTTTGTGTCATTAGGTTGCTGTTCCCCCTTTGATATGTACCACACACCTCCCTTTATTCATAAAAAAATGTGTACTTTGAATGTCTTCACTCCTCAAGCAGAGAAAGAACTTTATGTTATAACAGTATTCTATAAGTTCTGCAAAAGGAGAGAAAGAACTTTATGTTATAACAGTATTCTCTAAGTCCTGCAAAAGGAGAGAAAGAACTTTATGTTATAACAGTATTCTGCAAAAGGGTCATAACCACAACTAAAACCAATTAATCAAAAATAGCCTTTTTTTTAAAACTACTTATTGAGCAGAGAAATGTGTGACCTTATAATTAGACTATGTGAGAAACTGAATCACAATAAAATTGCTATGCTAATTATCATAATTATGATTGATCTAGCCTCATATGGCAAAGACCATTGCGAGATTAGCGATAACAAACTCTTCACAGAAACTTCCCACATTACAGTTTGTTTCTATGAAGTTAAAATTGTTCATCTTCAGAAAATAATAACCATGTGCCCTTGCCACCCCCACAAAAGATGACAGGCTGGTGATTAACAGGAGTGTCTCTTTTGTAAAGGTACATGTTGTATTACTAAACAAGGTAGACCATTGTAAATCACAAAGCTTGATAAAATCTTTTTAAATCAAAACGCATACCTGATGATTGTAATTGTCTGGGTCCGTCCATGGTACAACTGGAACTGGCCGTACATCTGCACCAAGCAATTTTAACATTTCTATTTTCTCCTAGAAAAAAAATAACATTATTTAAAACTAAATACTGTATAGTAAGCCATAAAAGGCCCAGGGATGACAAAATATGAAACAATTCAAAAGAGAAGACTAAGGGCCTGATTTAGACTACACCAACAACAAAGAAAAAACTCTTGGAGTGGGGGTATAATTATGATTTTCAATAGGCAGATTTTTTTTTGTTTTGCTGCATCTATCAAGCCATTTTTCTGCAGTAGAGATCTAGACCAAGGGCAAAGTTTAATCAAAGGCACATACAGAATGAGGCAGGTTTAACTTAAAATAAGGAGAAAACTATCCAACAGAGTTCCAATGAAGCAAATTTAAGCAACTATAGGTCATGGTATGGCCTTCAACAATAAGCAAAACACCAAAGACAGCAACAAACCACAACCACTGAACCACAGGCTCCTGACAATCACACATAGAAGTGAGGGGGCCAAACATGTCTGTGAGCACTCAATCCTTTCACAACCTGGGACAGTGGTACAACAACAAAACATAAGATTAAACTGTATTGAAAATGACTGGACTCATCAGTTTTGCACTTTGAACAAAAAAAAACCAACTAACATATAGACAAAAGACACAAAGTTCTGATCTAAGAGTACTCACAGTTACTGAAAGCTAATTCAAAGCCAATAACAACTAATAATAAATAATGTTCTCCAAGACTCAATTAGTACACATCCAACAGATTTAGTGTAAGTTAGGTTCTGAATTTAAAGATTTTTTTAGATAAAGGTGATCCACAAATTCAAAGGTTTATAAAGTTTTGTTTGCAGAATTGATAAAACCATGAAAACAATTATCCTTGATTTTACAATTTTTCCTCAATCCACAAATATTGTTACCCTAGAAAATAAATGAATCCATAATAATATCTTTGGTCTAAGATCAATGGACCTTTATGCAAAGCGTGAAATGTAGGTCATCTAATACTTCTTAATAGTGATGTACTGCACAGGAAGACTTAATTGGGGGGAAAATCAATGATATAGTACCAGAGAACAAACAATTAAGGAAAACATATGGGATACATAGCCTGACTTGGTACAGACACAAAACATAGGTTGGTTAAACTATGATGTAGTTGTCAAGGTACTGCCTCTACCAGGTGCGGGTCCAGGATATTGAAAAAGTGAGGCCCCCTAGCACCCCAACGTTTGGAGTGATACTTGTAAAAAGTCTATGCTTTTATTATATATGAAGCTCCCCACTAAATCTGCTTGTCTTCACTTTGTTATTTGTTGGAAAATTAAAAAACAATTATTGCTTATCTTTATGTTTTCAGATGTTACACAGGTCTATTGTACTAATTACACTTAAATTATAAAACAAAAACAGGGTTACAGTAAGTGCAATTGTAGATGGATTGTCTAGAAGTGTCTAATTGTAACGGGAGATGGGTGACGGAAAAATATGATATTTGTAAAAAGAAACCATGTTAATGATAATCTAAAGTTCCATAAAATGATAAAATGGAAATTGTAATGGGAGAGTGGTGTTGGAAAATAAATCTTACAATGAAAAATGTGATATCTGTAAAAAGAAACCTTAGTTAATCTAAAAATCCATGAAATGATAAAATACTGATGGTTTTTATAATGAGGATAATCTTATTTGTAAGATTACACCAATCTCAAGTGTTAATTGGAAATTTTTTGTTTGACATCGCTCAGTTTTTTATCGAAATTCTGTTTCATCTATATTTACACATCCTTACATAGTAATTGCACTATAAAGAATGTAGTTACATAAATCAATGTCCAATTTAGGTCACTAAATATCATATTATATTCAATGAAGACAGCCTTTATTACATACTATAAGTAGGTTATGATTTAGAAACATTTTTAAACTTTCAAAATAATAAAGTTCACATAAAAGATACATTTTACAAAAATTTCTAAGAATATATTAAAAATTCAAGCTAGCTGACAGGGTAACAGTACACGTTGAGGTACAGGTGAACCACAAATTTTAATGTTCAACGAAGTACAAATCTTCAATTTTCTATAGGCTTGCATGTATGCAGGCTTTGAAAAACTACAAAATCAAATATCAACATTTTCCTTGAACAACAAAAATTGGTATCCAAGAAAATAGTAAGTGTTCTGACTTAAAGATCAAATCCACGATGTTTCAAATTCAATGTAAGCAAATTACCACTATATAAAAATTAGGAGATGTGGTATGATTGCCAATGAGACAACTATCCACCAGAGTCCAAATGACAAACATTATCCCTTTTTGCACATAACTTTATATGAGGTATCCAAAGGTACACCAAGGTTAAACTATCCAACAGTAATGTAAAATCAGTTCTGCTGTATGGATCAGAATGCTGGCGAATTATACAAAGTGACATACAGAAGGTAGAAGGATTCCACAACAACTGTCCCAACAATGTTCACAGAATCTTTCAGCCAAATAAGATAAGCAATAAAAATCTACTGTAAAGAAGTAAATGCAAGAACAGCATTGATCAGATTAAACATGTTTTTAGATGGCTAGGGTTCGTTTTTGGAATGCCAATTTAAAGGAACAAAAGTGGCTCACAGCTGGATACCACCAGGAAAGTGAAAACCTTGCTGATCTTGTATCACCTGGAGAACAGGTGCAGTCCAGCTACCAGAGATTTGCTACCCCTGGGGGCAAGCTCATGATAGGGTTGGGGGGCAAGAGACAGGGAAGATCAGAGAAAGTTTGTGGTAGCCTTTTGACCAATTTTGAATCAATTGGATAAGAAAGTAAGTAAGAACGTAAGGTCAACAAAGGTTAACTATGATGTGATAATAGCATTATTGCTTCTTTCATGAATGATTTTGTAATTATCACATTCAAATTTGCCACTTTAAAATTCTAGCATTATTACTCATCAATAAAATGACCAGATCAGGGGTGGATCCAGCCATTTTTAAAAGGGGGGTTCCAACCATAAGTCCCCATTCAAAAGCATTAATTGTCAAAAAAAAGGGGAGGTTCCAACCCCAGGAACCCCCCCCCCCCCCCCCTCTTTCCTGCAGATAATTCACAATCTGATTATAGTTTTATCTTGAAGTATCTGTTTCAGTAATTAACTATATTCAAGGACAACAACAAAGGATGTATACAAATTACTGAAAGAAAATAGGATGTAATTTTTCAAATATTACATATAATCTACAATTAGGGGATACAAATTATCAGTTAGTTTTGTTGCTTTTAATATTATAATAACAGATGCAATTGACCATAATTGACCAACTCTTTATATCATTATCATCCTTAGTACTTTACACATCTAATGAACATTGTTAAATCTCAATTACAGGGTTTTAACATGTAATATTCGGTTATTTTTAGGGAGGCAAAATATAACTATATAATGTCTATTTATTTGTTACTGTTTAATATAGAAATAAGGAGAGGTGGTTTGATTGCTAATGAGACAACTCATCTACAAGAGTTCAAATTACGTGGATGTAAGCAATTATAGGTCACCGTACGGCCTTAATCACCACTTTTGGCAAACTTGGCTGTTATCAAGAACATACAATGGTTGTTCCATTGCAAAAGTTAGTATGCAATATTTTCCAAGTATTGACTATTGCAATATCACTTGAAAATAGTGAACAAAGATGACACTTTAGGTAAACATGGTATTCATTTTTCCCTTCAGATTATAAGCTGCATTCACAAGGTCATGCTATGTAAAAATCAACTGAGAGCGATATTCATCAATATAAGTTAATTAACCCTATGATATTTGAGGGACTTGGTAACAGAGTAGAGATTGTGAGTTCAAACCCTGCATGTGGCAGGTGGGTTTGACTCCAATCTTAATTGAAAAGGATTGTAAATTTTCCTGCCAAAGGTTGATGGTTCTCTCCAGACACTCAGGCTAACTCCACCAATAAAAACTGACCGCCAGGAAATAGCCAATAATGCTGAAAGTGCTGTTAAACACCAATCAGTCAAATCAAATAAAAAAAAAGACGTGGGTTGTTAAAATAACACTTTCCTGTCCAAAAATCAAATACATATACAAAGGTCTGGATGGGATCCTTCTTTTCTTTTTTCCTTTTCTTTATTTATTTTGCCCTTTATTCTCTATTCTTTATATTTTTTTAGCTTATTTTTCTCTCTATTTTTCATTTTTTTTTTTCCTTTATTCTGAACTTTTTGCCCATTATTCTCTATTCTGTAAATCCCATCCATACCCTCATATACCCATAATTATGGTGGTATCTAAGTACGATGCTGAGGAATATTTGTCTGTGACTCTTTTCACTAAATATCTTACGATTAAAATCTATTGTAAGTAAAACTGTGCATGTCTTAAAAGTAATTTTGCCCTTAAGATTTTTTGTGAAAAGTGTGGCTGTTTAAGTCAATCAATTCAAAAAAGTACATGGACTCTAATATCAGACCAAGAAATTCCCAGACTTGACTGTGCATTTTAATGTAGATGTAGGCCATGTTAATTTTCTACTTATCCAAATATGTATTTGGAAATAAGATAAAAACTGGGACTATAATACTAAGTATAATAGGCCCAGATAAAAATAAATGTTCTTTTACAAAAACGATTCATAAAATCAATATAATATCAGATTCCAATATGGTTTAAATAATGATATAATCTTTTCAAATGAAATGTAATTTTTTGTTGGGTATATAGGATTTGCTTAGAAATTTGATCTTCTCTGCATTCAAATGTCACATCATACTTTTGTCAACCACAAAGTGAAAAATTTGACATTTTAGTATATGAGTCAGGAGGAGTAAATACCTACTTGTGACTGGTTGTTTGGCATGTAAATGACACATTTGTATCCCATGGCAAAACACATGTGTGCCAGACCTATTCCTGTGTTGCCAGCTGTTCCTTCAACTACTGTGCCACCTGGTTTTAACTGTCCTGAAATCGTAAAAAGAATATGTAGTATAATTTGATACAATTTACACATATTTACAAAATTTCACATATAGTTCACAAAATATCTTATACTTCTAACAATTACCTTAAAAGAACTTGTATTCATGGGGAATTATTTTATGGAATGACTGATTTATCATTTTTATGGCTGCTTAAAGACAATCAACAAATATTACATGCATATCCCTTGCAGTAACAAGTTACTGTGATACCATCATACATTGCTTTAATTGTACTTAAGAACAACATGCTGCATCAGATTTCTAATGTTCTGACTCCATGCAAGACAGTCTTTGCTATTACTCCTAAACACTGTGTGCTTGACTGAGAATAGTATCAAATTTTACAGCAGCAAATATCAGTTCTTTAGACTCTACTGATGTGTCAGAGTGCAAAACCAAAAATCATAGCTGGTGTAAACAAGTATTCAAATACAAAACTAACTTTGCTTTATTTGTTTAAGATTTTTACCCTTTTCCTGTGCATCTTTAATTAAAAACAATGCTGCTCTATCCTTTACCGATCCTCCACCATTACAAAATTCAGCTTTAGCTAAAATTTCACAACCTACAAAATACAAAAATCTGTAATAAATCTTATTTCACAGATTTTCTTCTTTCTTACATAGTTCTACTTAATGTGGATTCATTATAATTCGTGGGATACCAATTTTCATGAATACTTGGATAAAGGAACACCGCAAATTTAAATTTTCAACGAAGTACAAATTGTCTACATGCTTGCATGCAGACTTTTGCAGAACCAAGAATCAAAATATTCACCAAAATACAAGTTTTCCTCAATCCATGCAAATTTGTACCCCTGAAAAATAAATGAATCCACTGTATTATAAAATTTCACAGCCTGAACATAAGATCTAAATGTTTAAGTTTTCCGAGTTAAATTTTTTTACAAGCTAAAACTTTTGATTATTGTATTTTCCAACTTTCTAAGATGTTTTGGGAGGTTATGATCAAGCAATTTGAATTCAAAAATTAAATTGTACTGTATAATATCACTTTTAGAGTTTAAATGAAATTTTCTTTTCAGAAATACTTTGATATTACCATGGTACATAACTGTTTAAGTAGTATGACACATGGTTTTTTGGGAGGGTGGGGTATGATTTATCTAAGCAAACTTTGCTCTACTATTTTTGTATTAGTCAAAACTTTTATTAGAATACCTATATCTGACAACAACACTTTAAAGTGTCTGCAATTTTGTTAAACTTGGTCGACATCTTTTATATAAAAAAGAAGATGTGGTATGATTGCCAATGAGACAACTCTCCACAAGAGACCAAATGACACAGAAATTAACAACTATAGGTCACCACACGGCCTTCAACAATGAGCAAAGCCCATACTGCACAGTCAGCTATAAAAGGCCCCGAAATGACAATGTAAAACAATTCAAACGAGAAAACTAACGGCCTAATTTATGCATGTTAGCGGGATACCAACCCTCCCCCTAACCTGGGACAGTGGTGTAACAGTACAACATAAGAACGAACTATAAAAATCAGTTGAAAGAGGCTTAACTCATCAGATGGATAAAAATACAAATACTTTTACCTGTCTGATAGGCATCAACTGGACAATAAACATATTACTGTAAATTCAGAAATTATTGCGTGCATTTATTATTGCGATTTTTGAAAAATTTTCAAAAATCAACAAAGATATGAGTTTAATTATTGCGATTTTAGGAAAAGCTTCATAAAGATATATGTATTTGATAACAGAATGTGAGTTAATTCTTATTATTGCGATACTCAAGTAGTCACGTTATTCGCATTAATAAAATCCTCAAAGAATTTACAATATACAGAAATTAAGTACTGAGGTACAAAGCTTGGTACATTACATTTTGATGTCATAATGTGTGTTGCTCTTGGTAAGAGTTTGAATAATTAGGTATACAAATGTGTTGGTATATGTTGAATGTTATAAAAATAGAGTGTTATGAAACCGGTGACTAATTAGGAGTGGAAATTGTTTTTTTTCTCATTCTATCAACAGAAATAATCATCTCTCCAGATGAAGAATATAGTAATGTAATTTGAGAATCGTATGATATATATATATATAATATATAATGAAGCATTTAATGAGAATGTCAGGTAGATCTTTAAAGTACAAAATACTGAATATAACTTTTACACATTTCAATCTGATACAAATATATGAAGAGAATACACCAACATGTATTTGGTTAAACAACTTCTGCAACAAAATGCATACCTTACTGCCCCAAATACATTTGTGGACTTATTCTGCATGGTGTGCATGTCAACTAAATGATGCATTAATGTTAGTCTGGGCCTGCCTAGTCTCACCAAAAATTAGGCCTTTTTATCAATTGATGAAATTACCCCATGTGTCATATTTTTTCTCTCTATTTTTCATTTGATGTAAGAAATCAATAATTGGTAGATTGATTTAGCTTGGTCAATAATTCAAACATTATAAAATAGCCTTCAAGTAATTAGTTTGTTTGTCTTGATAAAAAAATATCACATTTTTTAAATAAAAGTTTAAAAACGTATACTGACAAGCACAGGGGATATTGTAATACATTATACATATATAATTGTAGACTCAGGTCTTCATGTCCATATCCAGGTTTTTAGGGCTCCATAACTATTCATCTCAGAGTATATAATTCAACTTTACACACTTGGCAATACGGAGAGACATTTTTGGAGAAAAAAATCCATGTTGCTTAACTAATCGTTAGCAAATCGAGACTTTTTGTGACTTAACAAAGATCAATGGGTTTTAAGACCTTGAATCGCTCACTTGTTGAAAATATGCCATTTTGATATTTACTTTTACCTTTTTCGCAATCAGTTTTTTAATACCTTTTTGTAAAGCTTATTTGGTGATGTTTGCTTCCATGAAGATTTAATCTTGATTGCTGATCCATGTGAGGTCAGACATGTAGACCTTGCAAGGATCCAATTGTGCTAATTAGTTTTAAATTTCAGTTAATACCTGTTAGAACACATGAACTACTAATTATTATAATGTGATAAACATATGATCTGGAGTGAAATTAGAAACAACTGAATCTTCAATCACATTTCTCAACATGTGAATCAATTAATGCAAATCTTTTAACATACAGTGATTACAGGATTTATTTTTACCAAAACAAATAGATTATTATTAATAAATCTCATGGTTTAAATTTCAGAATACTTTTGCTATCCTCATGTGTAATGGACTAAAGGGAAATTCATATCTATTCTCCACTTCAAAATGTGTTCAGTGGGAAATTCCATTCAAAATATTCTATTGATTGATTGTTCTTAGTTTAACACCCAGTGACAAATTATATTTCATGTATATTCAGGTCTAAGAACAAAGTAGTTATTATATTCAATCTGTAGGACCTAGAAAATTGGAATGCTACTGGAAAAGGAGGGTCTGTTGGAACAATGATTTTATTGGTTTTTATCAAAATCCTTGGTTGGAAAGGGACATAAATTTTGCCTTGCAACAGGCAACCTTACCCATTCCTAACAAAGTTGTTTTATTTTTTATTATATATGTAACCAATAGGGGCACAGTTGTTACTCTTGTCTTGGCTCCCTAAAGGTTACGGGGTCATGATTTTATTTGTAAAATCATTAGAAAAACAATTAAACTTTGAAGGTCACCAATATCAGGAACTAGTTGTTGCAGTTCACGAAGATCCAACACATTCAAGTTATATAATTTAATTCCAAGCCAAAGTACTAATATAACATATACAAAGGACAATGTCAATATAATGTGACTCCTACTGTATCTTACTTTCTAACTCAAAGTATATTACTTCTGATCGTACTCATTTTACAAAGTTTACCATAAGTATTTATACTAAATATCGAAAATAGACAATACTCAATTAACATGACAATACTCAAATTAAAATGACATTTCATAACTTTAAGCTATAAGTGACAGCATTCACATTAATTAATATAAAAGATAATTATAATTTATAATACTCATATAATCTTATTCTTTCATTTTCCTATACAGTAATTTTCACACCTTTAGTATGAATTAATGTCTTTCATATTAATTTCTGTTACTCAATAAATAAATCTGTCACAAACATTTGAAAATCATATGTCACTAATTAAGATTAACACATTATTTGTCTATACATGTAAATATTTGAATTTGTAAATAATATCTTTTCCAAAAGTCCAATTTCTAAATAAATGATAAAATCAGAATTAAGTCCAAATAAGCCTGGTGACAAATGGCTCCTCCTCAACAAAAAACACGTCCTCGTGTTTCCGAAGTTAATAAAATCGTCCTCTATTGTTCCTGCTGTAGTAACTAGAATTAAACGGTTGTCCTTGATTATAAACATTCTGTGGTTGATTCCATGTCTGTTGTTGTTGTTGTTGTTGCAATTGTTGCTGATATTGTTTTATCTGCATCTCAAGCTGTAAAATCTTTATATCATATTTTTCTCTTTCTTCTCTTCTTCCCATTGTTGATTCTTTAAATATATCTACCGTCTTTTGTAACTGATCATAATCTAGTTGAAGATCTAAGTATATCGGATGTTTTTTCACTATTTCATTATACTCTGCATCTATTTTACTTTTCTCTTTATGTTGTTGTTTCATTAAATTAGTATTCACTGTTATTATCCTTAAATTTTCTGCCCTTAATAATTCATTTTGCCAATATAGATCATTAATATTCAGGTTTTCTGGTGTTGATTTAAATTTTTCCAATTCTTGGCGAAAGTCTTCATTTTGTTTCACATATAGTTGTGCTCTTTCCCACATTGTGTGCAGCTGCTCTTTTAGATTACTGATTTCTTCATCTTTTTGACTGTTCTGATGTCTAAAATTTTCACGGTCAATATTATTCTCCTTTAATTTTTCTTTAATTCTTTTTAGCTCTACTTTTGTTGAATTATTTGTTTCTAAAACACTTACGAAGGCTGTATTTCTGATATTTGAAAATGGTAATTCAAACATTGGTTGTTTTCTGTCCATATGTTGAATGAATCGGGATCGGTCCCTTTCTGTTCTCCTCTTACCTTTCACTTTTTTATTCCTTATAGTTGTTTGTTGTTCTTTTGCTTTCACTAATGGTACACGAGCAAAACACATTCTAGCATAATGTCCCTTTTTTCCACATTTAAAACAAGTTTTGAAATTTGCAAAACAAATTCTGTAATGCAATACTCCACATTTACCACATACTGGTCTTTGACTAGGAAAGTTCCATAATCTCCATTGCGGTCGTAAATTTATATCCATGTTGTTAGTTGTTGATCTGGGGAACACTCACTTGCTGCTGTTTGAGGTATCTTGAATCGTTGTTGAACTAAGAAGTCAACGTGCCGCGGGTCGTCCACCATATGTAACCAATAATAGGGGCGCAGTTGGGACTCTTGTCTTGGCTCCCTAAAGGTTACGGGGTCATGATTTTATTTGTAAAATCATTAGAAAAACAATTAAACTTTGAAGGTCACCAATATCAGGAACTAGTTGTTGCAGTTCACGAAGATCCAACACATTCAAGTTATATAATTTAATTCCAAGCCAAAGTACTAATATAACATATACAAAGGACAATGTCAATATAATGTGACTCCTACTGTATCTTACTTTCTAACTCAAAGTATATTACTTCTGATCGTACTCATTTTACAAAGTTTACCATAAGTATTTATACTAAATATCGAAAATAGACAATACTCAATTAACATGACAATACTCAAATTAAAATGACATTTCATAACTTTAAGCTATAAGTGACAGCATTCACATTAATTAATATAAAAGATAATTATAATTTATAATACTCATATAATCTTATTCTTTCATTTTCCTATACAGTAATTTTCACACCTTTAGTATGAATTAATGTCTTTCATATTAATTTCTGTTACTCAATAAATAAATCTGTCACAAACATTTGAAAATCATATGTCACTAATTAAGATTAACACATTATTTGTCTATACATGTAAATATTTGAATTTGTAAATAATATCTTTTCCAAAAGTCCAATTTCTAAATAAATGATAAAATCAGAATTAAGTCCAAATAAGCCTGGTGACATATAGAATTAAGGAGATGTGGTAGGATTGCCAATGAAACAACTATCAACCAGGGACCAAAGGACTTGGTAGTAACAATTATTTGGCACTGTAAGGCTGCCAATAATGGGCAAACCTATACCTTAAAAAAATAAGCTATAATAAGCATGACAAAACATGAAACAGTTCAAAACAGAAAAAAACAGCCTGATTAAAACTAAAAAAAAAGAAATGAAGAAGAAATAAGGCAGACAGCAGGTAAAGACTTTAACAAAATAAAAGGCTCATGGATAGGGACAGGTACATAAAGAATGTGGCGAGGTTAAACATGTTTGTGAATGCTCAACCCTCCCATTAACCTTGGACATTGTTGTAACAACACAAAATAAAAACAAACTAGAAATATGAGTTGGAAATAGCTTGACTCATCAGATTGGCAGTGTAAAAATCATGTTAAGATGTGCAATTAGCTAAGTTCTATTAAAAAAACCTATTTCAGGGGTTCATAAAGTAATACCTGGTAATAGTGTTAAAACAATCCGAAAGCTCTCCTATTTCCTAATTTTCATGTAACCCTAATCTAACCCTTCGGCTAACATTATCCTAACATTATCCAGACCCTTTTCCAATCTTACTCTCAAAAAGAAATCATGGCTAAGGGACTTATCATTTTTTACCTAGGAGGGGGGCTGGTCATTTTGAAATGAAACATACAAAATTTCTTGATCCCCCCCCATAATATTCCACTATTTTTATTTGATCCCCCCCCCCCCGTTAAAACATTTAAAAATTATGATCCCCCCTCTATTAAACATGCCAAAATTTTAACATGCAAAACACGTATCATGTTATTTCACGAAAATATTGAAAATGAAATGTTCTCAGTGTATTGAGTCCAAAAACACACTTGAGGGAAAATTGCCTTGCAATAGGGCTCTTCCATGAGGCCTCTTCCATGAATATTAGTAGGTAGAGCAAGCCAGTGCTTTGAATAGCTTTTTCTGACTTTTTTTTCTTATTTCCTATATTGGGCTATTAAGGAAAACTTTATCCTAAGTAACTCTGTAAAAAATATACATTAAAAAGTAAACTTTTTGAAACAGTAACAACACATTATTTACTTAGAGGGATCTATTATATGTCCCTCTCTTGAACGCTGCTTAAACTTAAGTTTTATGTAAGGCCTTATTGAAACCTCCATTGAGTCGCTAAACTTTTATATGGATAGTTCATGCTTACAGCTTGAACAATTCAATTACTCATTTATTGTCACATTTCATTCATAAATGTTTGATAGTAACCTCAAAATTTAGATTTTGGGCTAAAAAGTACAAATTTTGAGGGAGTGAGAGGTATAACTGGACCCAAAGCGATCTTGTAATGAAACAAAAAGATACATAAGTGTTGTTCGTCATCTCAGAATCATCTGTTGTATCAATATTCAACTGTTTGTATGCAGATTAGATGAATATTTAATCATTTATTGGAAAATTTATTGCTATACACTATATTCTTCCATGATGCGGCGTGATTTGTATTTTTGGACAAAATTTTGCACAAATCGCTGTAGATTTCGTTTTAATTTATACTTAATTTCTCTCAAACTATTAAGCTGATTATAACAAAACTTGGCAGTAATGCTTCTTAATTTAGTGATCGAAGTGAGTGAAATATAACGACTAAATTATTCGGATTATGAAGCACCTATGCATTTTATATGGGACAAAATGACACAAAATGGCAGCTTCAGATCCTACATCACTAAAGTCTTGTGATGTCTTACTTAATTGTATATGAATGGTGTTAAAAATATATTTCATTTTGACTGTTGTAATGTTCTTCTTGACATTTTGTCTCCGTTGAAGTATGTGAACTACTTATTTCTATGTGCAAAAAATATTGATCCCCCCACATTAAATTTATAAAAAACTAGAGGCTCTAAAGAGCCTGTGTCGCTCACCTTGGTATATGTGCATATTAAACAAAGGACAAAGATGGATTCATGACAATATTGTGTTTTGGTGATGGTGATGTGTTTGTAGATCTTACTTTACTGAACATTCTTGCTGCTTACAATTATCTCTATCTATAATGAACTTGGCCCAGTAGTTACAGTGGAAAATATTTTGTAAAAATTTACAAAAATTTACAAAATTTATGAAAAAATTGTAAAAAATTGACTATAAAGGGCAATAACTCCTTAAGGGGTCAATTGACAATTTTGGTCATGTTGACTTATTTGTAGATCTTACTTTGCTGTACATTATTGCTGTTTACAGTTTATCTCTATCTATAATAATATTCAAGATAATAACCAAAAGCTGCAAAATTTTCTTAAAATTACCAATTCAGGGGCAGCAACCCAACAACGTGTTGCCTGATTGGTCTGAAAATTTCAAGGCAGATAGATCTTGACCTGATAATCAGTTTTATCCTGTCAGATTTACTCTAAATGCTTTGGTTTTAGAGATATAAGCCAAAATCTACATTTTACCCCTATGTTCTATTTTTAGCCATGTCGGCCATCTTGGTTCGCGGGCGGGGTCATCGACACATTTTTTAAACTATATACCCTAATGATGATTGTGTAAAAGTTTGGTTAAATTTGTCATAGTAGTTTCAGAGGAGAAGATTTTTGTAAAAGATTACAAAAATTTACGAAAAATGGTTAAAAATTGACTATAAAGGGCAATAACTCCTTAAGGGGTCAACTGACAATTTTGGTCAAGTTGACTTAGTTGTAGATCTTACTTTGCTGAACATTATTGCTGTTTACAGTTTATCTCTATCTATAATAATATTCAAGATAATAACCAAAAACGACAAAATTTCATTAAAATTACCAATTCAGGGGCAGCAACCAAACAACGATTTGCCTGATTGGTCTGAAAATTTCATGGCAGATAGATCTTGACCTGATAAACGATTTTACCCCATGTCAGATTTGCTCTAAATGCTTTGGTTTCAGAGATATGAGCCAAAAACTGCATTTTACCCTATGTACTATTTTTTAGCCATGTCGGCCATCTTGGTTCGCGGGCAGGGTCATCGGACACATTTTTTAAACTATATACCCTAATGATGATTGTGGACAAGTTTGGTTAAATTTGTCTTAGTAGTTTCAGAGGAGAAGATTTTTGTAAAAGATTACAAAAATTTACGAAAAATGGTTAAAAATTGATTATAAAGGGCAATAACTCCTTAAGGGGTCAACTGACCATTTGGTCAAGTTGACGTAATTGTAGATCTTACTCTGCTGAACATTATTGCTGTTTACAGTTTATCTCTATCTATAATAATATTCAAGATAATAACCAAAAACTGCAAAATTTCCTTAAAATTACCAATTCAGGGGCAGCAACCCAACAACGGGTTGTCAGATTCATCTGAAAATTTCAGGGCAGATAGATCTTGACCTGATAAACAATTTAACCCTTGTCAGATTTGCTCTAAATGCTTTGGTTTCAGAGATATAAGCCAAAATCTACATTTTACCCCTATGTTCTATTTTTAGCCATGGCTGCCATCTTGGTTGGTTGACCGGATCATCGGACACATTTTTTAAACTAGATACCCCAATGATGATTGTGACCAAGTTTGGTTAAATTTGACCCAGTAGTTTCAGAGGAGAAGATTTTTGTAAAAGTTAACAGACGACGCCGGACGACGACGACGACGGACGACGGACGCAAAGTGATGAGAAAAGCTCACTTGGCCCTTCGGGCCAGGTGAGCTAAAAATGAACCCCCCTTTTCCACATACAGAAAAAAAACTTGATCCCCCTGCATTTTGACCAGCCCCCCTCCCAGATAAAAAATGATAAGTCCCTAAGACGAGTTGATAAACTTACCTGTTTCTTGACTAACTTTGTTAAGTCTTACTAAAGGAGTCCTGTAACAAGAGAAGGCTGTAAACATATACGAAGATAGAAATATATAATTACAGTCTTTTGTAGAAGTCCATTTAAGTTTTTTTCATATATTGAATTAAATATTAAGTATGCATATTTGATTTTGATAAAAATATACATTTTAAAGTCTTGAAATGGAATTCAATGAGTAAAACAATATCTGGTCATATTGATTCAAACTGATTCTATGTGTGTTTTGTTTTCCAAAAAAATACTTAACTAAGTATTCCTCATTCGAGTCGTTTTTACTTTTTTAACTAATTTTTCACAAAATTGCAACCGTTATTTACACATATTTCAACACATATTTTTCAATGTCAATAAATGCAAATCATTTTGAAAAAAAAACTTGTTCATATTATGTAAAGAAAGTGTGAAAACTCAAGAACACAAAATATCACAAATAATATTTGAAGAGCACTTAATGTCATTTTTTAGTACAAAAAGATGGTAATCTCAAATTGAATAAAATTCTCAAACTTATGCATACCTTCCTACCATACCAACAAATCCATTTCTAATTGCTTCCTAAAATAAAAAATAAGAAATGCAATGTATAATAATAAATTGGCAAATTAAAAAAAATGTACTGTTACACAGAATCCAACTACGGTATATATACAAAAATTGATACATATGTAAGCATAAATCTTCTTTAAAATCAAAACTGAATGTTAGCATACACAAAAATCAAACATAATTCAATTTTTCCACAGTATAAAGAAAGATAACTCTAGCATCATTATAGGAGTAAACACATTTTTCTAGAGGTTATTGATGTGTAAACTGGGGAAACTAGCTCACAAACTGAATAAAAGTCTGAATTCTTTTGTCAACTAGCTGACTCAAAATTTGTGTTTCAAGACTATAGCACACTGACCAGTCCATTCATATAGCAGTCTGATTGAATAAAAAAGGTATGACACTTTGTCATGTACATGACAAAATAAACTATCCATTAAAATGCTAAAAAACCAGTCAATCAAAGGCTGATTTAAAAAAATATGTCATGAAGACTTAACAATTTGGTCATACAAGTTGTCATACATTTGTAGATGGCTTATGCCCTATTTCTAGATTGTGCCTAGATCAATTGCTACAAAGATTGAAATTGTTACAGTCAATATTAAAAAAAACATCTGCTTATTAAATTTTGTTTCCTTTATGTTTATCACTTGTCCCATAAAACCATTTCTTATTATAGTAAGTAATCTCCTATGTTTACATTCCACAAACTGGTTTAAGAAACATGCAAGGAATGTAATGTGATTGAAAATATTTAATAATAATAATAATATCTTTATTGCCATACTTTTGTATTTTATAATAAACAAGATATTGATTGGAATTTTTATTAAAGTAAGAAGTGAAAAGGATTACTCTGACTCATAGCTGACCTGTCTTTGCTCTTTACTCCTTACCCCACCTAAGCGGAGGAGTGACAATTATTAAATTTCAAGTCTTTGGTTTGAATCCACTGGGATTGAACCCCAGTGGCAGATCAGTGTATCAGTAACCTCTTCTGTAATTGTTACATAATTATCAGATTATATACACTGTAAGTCATTTGTAAACAAACACATTTATGAGTCATTTAAAAGGCCTTGCACCAGTCTGATAGATTAAAATTCCATTAAACAATTTGTCATAAAAAAAACCACCTGATCAGAATGTCTACTTTTTTTCATTTTCAACATTTTTCTTTTAAAAGGTCAATTACAGATGCTTTTGCCATTGTCCTTTGAATACTCAAGACATTTTTCTTATACATCATTGGATATTTCTCGATCAGCTGTATTGGCCCTTGATTCTTTGAGTCTCAGGACCAAAACAGCTGACCTCGAATCTATAACAGGGCCAATACAGATACAGCCAGTTTAAATAACACTTTACTATACATATGCATTTTGTTGAAGGCCGCATAATGACTGTCAGATCTTGTCATGCATTATGCAGTCATTCTATTTCAAATCAAATAAATGTATTTATTTTGTCCTAATTTATTTGACTCTTGTATCCAAAAAATGGGTCAAAATAAGCAGTCACCCATATTATTATGTCCTTTGACAACTGATTAGCATTTGTCTTCAAATCAAAACATTATTTAGACGTTGTAACTTTTCTGTTAAAACACTTACACTGGATAATTGTGAACTGTTCAAGCTTTTCAGAAGAAAGGCTGCAGATCTTTTGGACAGCATGATAAATGAAGTGCATGTCAAAAACTAGGACGAAGAAAGTGAAAGTAGACTGGTTTCCGATCGCAAAGTGACCAGCGTCAAGGGGAAGTAATCAAGATGGATGCGCCCATGAAAATGAACAAAAATCATAAAAGATGAATAATCAGACGATTTTATTGCTACTTTTGTTCTGTTTTACCAGAAATATTGAAAATATTGAACCAATTTCTTCTAAAGTGCAATCTGAACGTGTAGAAAAGTTAAGGTGTGAAGATAAAAAATACATTTTTATTTATTTTTTACCAATTACATTTGCTTTACATGCACAGACACATCAAGTAGTAAGTCTAATGTAAAACAAACATTAAAGATATGATGAAGAAGAAATTATATAAAGAATAGCCCTATACATTTTCTCAAAATATGAAATTTATTCGTACAAGGCTTAGAAACAGAATGTTAGGCTGTACGTGCTAATAGGCACTGACTAAGACTTTCGTACATGTTATGATGTACATCCAAAAAATAACATTAAGAAATAGTAAGTGTTATTTACGAGACTTATTGCTGAAAAGTATTTCCAGACAGGGACCCGATTTTAAACGGAAATTGCTGGTAACAATAAAATCATATTTTATTGTTACCTGCAGTTGCTATATTAATCTTAGATTGATAAAAGTTTCTTTAAATGTCAAGTCATTATAATATATTTTTGGAATTTCGGCTGCCATATTTGAAAATACTTTTTGCCCCCCTCTGTGTATATCATTTATATTTTTCAAATTAAACTAATTTTCAGTCATTATTTATTGAAATTATCGTATTACCAGAAAAATGTTTCAACAAGATGATGAATTTGATCTCGTGATTTTGCACACAAATGTATGATGTATATTATCTGGGTTTAAGTTTTATCCATGTCTAAAATTTGACATCCAAGTTGACTTAGATCAGTGCCTTATTTAAGCAGCTAAGTTGACTAGATTGAAGCTTATTAGGTCACATTAAAGTCACCTGGCCACATTAACAATACAAGGCTATTGTCACTAAGGACAGAGGATGAAGTCTGTTTTGAATACATGTACAAAAAAATGTAGCACTATTTTTTTAAAAAATTTAAGTTGATAAAATAATTTGAATTTTTTTACTTAGGCAATTTAATTATTGGTTGTAATGACATTTAAACTTTTTTTTTTGAATCACTTACATCTAAATGTTGAAAAATACTCACAGTTATAATCATTGACTTCAGGATTGGGGCATAAACAATAAAAATAAATTAATTTAAAATTAATGAAAAAAAAAAAAATCTTGCACAATTTCTGCTAAACACCCCAACTACCAGTGACTACATGTAAAAGAGGGAACATAATGCTATTTATTGTTACTATATATGGAATCAGTATAGATCAGTTCTTTTTTTACAATTTTAACACTTTTTACCATTTTAAGTAATGCAGACATGTACATATCATGCATGTATGAATTAAGAACAAAAACAGAAAACACCAACAGGACTATTTCAGCTATCATGGCTATAGAACAACTAAAATCTTACAAAACACAAAATATCTTACAGTTTATAATACTACATAAACTTGCTGGAATGATAAATTTATTATTTCAATTTTGGATTATGATTGATGATTGTCTTCAACTTCCTTCAACTACCTAGAACTAAATCAGAATTTACAAATGATAATATGAAGAAAAAAACCTGGAAATACAAGAAAAACTCTGAAAAATCTTGTCAATGATCACTTACTTTACAGTAGGCATGGTAGGTTACAGTTTGCATTTACAGATTAATGATGCCAGCACATGCAAGGTTTTAGACATCAATATATCTGTCCTTTATTGCTCTTTAAGTCTGTATTTTTATACAATTATTAGGTGTGGTTATAACATCGATACCCTGTGGACTGCTGAGCTTGCCCATTCTCCATTTGCTGCTGCTCCTTTAATAGCTGATGTAGATGGCAACGGTAAACATGAAATAATAGCTGCTCCATTTAGTGAAAGTTTTACGGTGCTACAGGGACAAAATGGTCAAATATTACATCATTCCTCATGGCCAGCTGTCAACCTAGATAACTCTGTACATGCTAGCCCTTTACAAGTGAGTAATTAAAAAATCTAAGGTATTTAAGTTATTGCATAGGTATATATTTTATTTTTGGATTAACATCTATCAGGCAAAATGTTTGTATGTCAGAAAGAAATAAAAAAATAGTAAAATCACACAATTTCGGAACCAACTGAAAGAGAAAGTAAAAAACTGACAATAAAGAAGATATCTTTTTTATATACAGGAATTACAAAACTATATAAGAACTGTAATGAAATAAGACATTTTAGTGGTCCTTATGTTTGAAAAAAAATTATGCAATGAAACATACTTTAAAATAACATAAAAAAAGTTATTTGACATTATAAGACTGTAGTGCAATCTTGATGGTGTACAACTAAACAATGCATAAAATGAAAAATAAAATGTTAACTATTCAAGCTAAAAGCATGCATAACAACTCTGTGGGCCATTTCTTGCTGTTTAACTTTTTTTTTATTCCACTCATTTAACTAATAGTTTTACAAATGTATATGAATGTATATATAATAAGACGGCAATGGAAAATCATTAGTCGACAAACACTATATGTCCAAATGAAAAAAATGTCCTAACATTATTCAACAAAACTGAAAACTCAAGCTTCACCAAGTTGAATCTCTTCATAAACAAGAGGTGAACTCATGTTCTTAGAAAAATTATGCAGCTCCTGCTGCACTTGTGGTACCTACTGGCAGACAACAAATAAATTTATATATTGTCTTTTTTTGCATATTACAAATGCACTACTGTAAATTCAGAAATTATTGCGATGTTTTTATTATTGCGAAAAATGCGACAGGGTTATAATCGCAATAATTTAAACTCGCATTTTAAATTTTTTTATATGAATTAAACAGGATTTTTCTCAATATCGCAAAAATTAAAATCGCATTTTAGTCTCAAATGACAAAATCGCAATAATAAATGCACGCAATAATTTCTGAATTTACAGTATTTTTCTCTTACAAAATACTATCCTTGATATAAGTTGAAAGAAATTTATAAATTTGTTTTTACAGTTCGACATTGACCACGATGGAATGTTAGATATAATGTTTACTCTTTCTTCTGGAGAGCTGAGATTTTACTCACCAGATGGTCAGAGGTTGAAGGATAAAACTTATCAGGTATGTCAATACAGTTAAGTCCTGTAATGCCTTGGCTGGAAAGTCTGTGAATTGTGTTGACAAACTTCAAAATAATGGATTAATGGGACAAACAGAATTATTGGCATACATTGTAGCCATTTCCTGATTTTCATGCTAGGAATTATGAACTGACTTTAAAATGATATTTGAAACAAGTTCTTACAAGAAAATCAAACAGATTTGTAGCTGCTTTTGGTTGTTGTTGATAGACATTCAGTTCATATAAATTTCAACTACATATCTTACTTATTATATTTTCTCCATACATACTACAGTTTAATAAAATTGAGAATGGAAATGGGGAATATGTCAAAGAGACAACAATCAAACCAAAGAGCAGATAACAGCCGAAGGCCACCAAATATGTTTATAAAGTAATAAATGTTGTTTTTTTTATCAAAAGTTTTCTATATATTTCTCAATATTACCTAGCTTTACATCAAACCAATGCAGCTTTCCAGCCAGAGTAATGATTTACTTAAAGTTTTTGATATAAGGGTCTGATTTTTGTTTCAAGAAATGTGTTTTGGGAAAAGGCTGTGTCTTGAAGTGTATCAAACAGTTTGGTTTTATTAGATGATATTCCTATGGTTGAATTTTTCTAATTTTCATATAGGGGAAGCGTATCAATTTCAACAAGACAAAATTGGTATTGAAATTACCAGGGTAAGTCATTTATATAAAGCTCTGAAAACTAGGAGTTTATTTTTTTAAAGGGAGATAATTCTTCTCAAATGATTAACATTAACCTATGTTGTATTGGATTTACATGAAATATTTATTTTCTGGTTTCAGATAGATCCAGTCTATGTTTCGAAGGCTTGGTACCAGTATGAATTGATAGTAAATGCTCCTACAATAAATAAATATGCTTTTGTTGAGAAACCAAAAGGCGATGAGGTGAGATAAATTATATATATATAATTACAGTTATAAGAGAAAAGTTCTTTTCATCTAACGGTATTCAACAATTTGTTTTGCAAATGGTAATTTTCGGTATTATTTTTCATTGTTGTTGAAGAAGCTATTAAAAAATTGCTACTGTTGAAATCAAAATAGCACAAGTGAAACAAATTGATTCAGGTAGCACCCTTATTATTTCTGACCTGTGGCGTTTGAAATTATATTTTGGAAATCTAAGATTAAAAAGCAGTTTTAAAGAAGCCAAATTATAAAAAAACAAATACCTATACATTTAAATATAACTTTAAAATTAATTAATTTTGCATCTTTTTCAGCTTAATACTATTAATTTGATTTCAACATGTTTCAATGATACATGCATATGTTCTATCTGCACTTGTTTTGCTTATTTACAGTTTTGCGTGTACTGTTTTTCACTGTAATGTAGAAATAGTGTCATATCTCCCTTTTTTTCTTATGGTACACTGATGATGAACTATTTATACCTTTTTTTCTTTTTATTTGTATGGTTCTTGTGCTTATATGATTCTTGTGCTTATATTCTATATTGGATAGAAAAGATAGTAAATATAGCTTGAATACCAGAAAAATATTCTGTTATTCAATAAGTGTAATGTCTATATAAGCTACTATTTAAAATGTTCATGGCAGCACTACAACTCAAATTGTATCAATGTAAGCACACTTCATTGTCTCCTATAAAACTTGATTCATATTTTATTATAGTCTGATTTAACCCAAAGCAATGAAAATGTCTTATGAACAGTTCTTTTGTATTAACTGAACATGTTTGATTGACCGTCTTGAGTTGCTCATCATCTATTTACGGGTATACAAAGAAGTTACTAACAGACTTGGTAGCGCTAAGCCAAGTTGGACTTATGATGAAGTTAACAGTCCTTGCATGCTTTGAAATATCATTCAAGCCACATTGGTCAACGTAGACTCAATATTGCAAACTTTGCAAAATAAATCCTTGAATTTGTCATTAGCCATACTTTTCGTCTTCGGCAGCTTAAGAACCTTCTTGCAAATGATAATTTGTCCACCATCATCATGAATTTTACAAATCTGACATACAGACATACAGACAGAGGAAAACAACTTAATAGTTCAAAACAAGTTCGAATCTGCTTATTTACAATGCTCCTTTAATCAGAAGATGAACACAGGAAATACTATTTTAATTGGCTAATTATCTCTGATCACAATTGTCTCCCCTTGAAAATAGGGAACCAGCAAACTTTTAGTGTAGATTTTCACAAAATTGTGTTATAGAGCTTTTAACAAGATTATGATCGTGCAATCAGGACAAGGTGTCAAAATCCTGTAGTTTATGCCTAAATCGTGAAAGTTGGCAGGTTTGATAATATTGTTCAGAAAGATGCACATGTGAATTCTTATTATTAAAATTCTGACATATTTTTTCCACTAGATGCATATGTACACCTGTATTGTTTATTTACAGTTTCAGCATGTAGTACCAGTAGATGCACATGTACACCTGTATTGTTTATTTACAGTTTCAGCATGTAGTACCAGTTGATGCACATGTACACCTGTATTGTTTATTTACAGTTTCAGCATGTAGTACCAGTTGATGCACATGTACACCTGTATTGTTTATTTACAGTTTCAGCATGTAGTACCAGTTGATGTACGTGTTCACTTGTATTGTTTATTTACAGTTTCAGCATGTAGTACCAGTAGATGCACACGTTCTGTCAACACCTGTTTTGGTTGACCTAAACAATGACAAGAGAGTAGAGGAACTTGTTATATCTGTTTCTTATTTCTTTGAAGAAGATGACTTCATGTAAGTAGAGTTTTTATTTTATCTTAGTTTAACTTCTTAGGCAAAACATTTCAAATCATAGATTATGGGGGCCTCGGTGGCCGAGTGGTCTAAGTAGTTACTACTGTAATCACCAGCCAGTCAACACTGAGGTTGTGAGTTCGAACCCCGCTCGTGCGGGTGCACTCGACTCCAATCTTAATTGACTAGGATTGTTGGTTTTCCTATCCAAGGTCAGTGGTTTTCTCCGGGTACTCTGGCTTCCTCCACCAATAAAAACTGGCCGCCACGAAATAGCCCAAAAGCGGTGCTTAAAAGTGGCGTTAAACATCAAAAATCAAATCAAATCAAATCATAGATTATGAGAAGCAGGTGAAAGCTTGACCTCAATTAAATGTTCTTTGATCATGGTAATTATTTAGTAATTTTAAAGAGGATCTTTTCAATTACTGTGGATTCATTATTATTAGGGGGATACCAATTTTCAGAGGTAAAGGTGAACCACAATTTGATGTGTGACCACAAACTTATTTTCTATCTATAGGTTTATATGCAGACTTTGGAAAACCACAAAAACAAGTAACCACGAAAATGCAATTGTCCCTCAATCCAAACAAATTGGTACCCATAAAACAAAATGAATCCACAGTACTATGAATAACAGTAAAACACTGTTGTCAGTTTCACAGATATTTTCAGTTTTATTGAAGTTTTGTGTATGTCAGTGTGACAAGTTTCCCACGATTCTCAAAGATTATTTCAATTGCCCAGTTACTATTTGTACTTTGCAGGCATGGATTTCAGATTTGAGGTTTGAGAGGGTGCAATCCTAAAAATTTAAGAATGCAAAAACAGACATATTTGAAATATTTAATCATTGTTTAGTGTACATGTCTGGCAGGGGACACCTTATCTTCCCCTCTTTTTCATGGTTCATGTATCAAGTTTCTTCATTTCTTAAAATAAAAGGGAAAATATGTTACTATAATTCAGAATCATGTTTGATTGACCTTGACCTAATTTTCATGGTTCATTGATCAATAATAAGTCGACATATGAGGTCAAAACAATTTTGCAGGCAAGACATTCTTCAGTATGTTTACAGTAGCTGTTTTAAAGCCCAGCTGTTAAAATATACTTTCAACCTTATAGTACTTATACATTTAATACTACCAACTATAGTACTTTCTTGAAAGTAAAAGCCCTTTATAATGATTATGAATGTGGTCATTTACATACATGTTCATTAATAATGAAAATTGCATTTTATAATTTTTGCTGTTTTAATGTCAGGGGTAGCTAGCCAAATGACTGATATAGATTAGAATGGGCCTCTGCTTTAGGTATTAGAGTTATTTATTGATGAATTTTATGTTATTTGATATATGAATGGAATTAATAATTTGTTATTATAAACATTGAATATAGTTATATTGTTTAAAAAAAAACTTATTGTTATATAATATTGAAAAGAGAAATTAAAATATTTATGAGTATTGAAATGGCTCAATAAATTTCATTCAAGAAATAATAGATAAATTACAGAACCTATTTGTAAAAAGAAATCTTTAGTGTCAGATGATTTCATAAAGCTATATGGAAATGATCAAATTACATACTTTAGTGAGGATAGCAATGGGGGTGTCATTTATTATCTAATATTATTTACAGTACTTATTCTCAAAATAATTGGTTGAACAAAAAGGTAGCTTGAAAAAACAAAAAGCAAAAATAAAACTGTTAAAAATAAGTTGTATTCACACTTTCTTTCTTATAAATAGAATCTGATATTATACATTATTGTTGACATTCACATTATGACTAAGAAGTTAAGAACCCCTCTTTATATGTAGCTATTCAGGTGTGCCTTCATTACCTTTAGTAAGTATTGTCTTAATTACAATTTTGTATGATTGAAATGCACTGTACAGAAGAAAAACAATAAATCATAGAAGTTTTCATTATAAATATGGCATCTGGATATAGTCGTTCCCTATACAAAGGTATGGCAAGTAGTGTACGTAAAAGTCAGACACCAGTAATTTGTGACTTATGTAGATCTAAAGGGATGAATATGTGGAGGTGTTTAGGCTGTGATTGTCAACCTGTGATGTGTGATAAATGTAAAGACAACATCCATCCCAAAATATCTAAGAACCACAGAATTGAAAGAATAAAAGAAGTAGTGCATGAAGACTCTTCTGGTAGTTTGAAGTTTCATAACTTCAAGTGTGAGGAACATGAAGGTATGTCTTGCAGTCATTATTGTAAGGCATGCAGTAAAATCATCTGTTCACAATGCATTACTAAAACTAAAACTCACAACAGTCATCATATTCTTGTTGATGACAATGATTTTGATGATAAAAGGCATCGATTTGAGAAAGCAATGAGGAATATAACTGAGTGGTCCAAAGCTTCAGATGGAATGAAGAATGTAAAAAAACAAATTAATGAAAGTTTTGAAGAAATTAGACAAGCTATTTTTGATCATAAGAAAGAATGTCAAAGTATGATTGATAAGTATGCTGATGAGTTTAACAAGGAATTGAAGAAGCGCCAGAAAATAGCCTTGATAGATATTGATATAGAACACAATGAAATTGAAGAGACATTCGAAAAATTACAGACTGCATGTGATATACTAGGTTCTAAATCTTGTACAACAAGTGAAGGTATTATCTATTTCTTGGAAAACTTTGATAGACTTTCAGACTCACTAATTGAAGAAACACCAAAAGGAAACAAAATGCCGTCAAGTTCTCAAAAATTTGTGCCAGGAAATTTTTCATCTCTTAAATTTGGATCCTTTGAAGTTTTTCGTATCTTTAAATTAGATCCTTTGTAGTTAATGAATATTTGAATATTGCTAAAACTTGGGAGAACAAATTCTAAATTGTGAGGGGAACTTTTTTAAAATTTGGAAATTACTACTCAATCTGCCTTTGATTTGTCACCTGATAAATTGTTTTATAAGGTAGCATACAAGAACAAGAACAGTTTTGAAGGAACAAGAGAAGAGGAGGAAATTGATCAAACTTCAAATACTTTTAGTTTATAATCCAAACTATATAAATTGGAAAAATATTTTGAGAGGAACTTAGGAGTGCACAGACAGTAGTATCTGTTACCTTCAAATTTTGCTATATATTTCATATAATAAAAGATTTAAAAAAATGGGTTTGAAGCCTTTTATGGGTTGATTTTAACAAACCATGAGTTGACTGAAACAGAATGTCAAATTATATTGTGTGTATTTGGTCATAGCTTTTGTCTTGCCTGGGACATAAGTATGCGAGACATAGGGATTACAATCAGGGGGTGGCAATGGGCGAGGCATAAACTAATTTTGTAAAGCTTAATATTTCAGAAGGTAGAAGACCTGGATGCTTCATACGTTTTTGTACACAGATGCCTTTTTTTATGAAGTTTTTGTCTGTCATATAATATCCTTCATCCTTGACCTCATTTTCATGGTTCAACAACTACTTATTATGAGTAATAGGATAATATTATTTGGTATATGGATCCTTTGCAAGGTCTACATATCCATCAGACAGGGTTCATCTGACCTCGACCTAATTTCATGGATCAGTGATCAGATTAAGTTTCTTGGTCAAGTCCGTATCTCAGATACTTTAAGTAACTTTATTTAGTGTATGCAATGATTTTAAGGTATACATGTCTGACTGGTAGGTTTTTTCTGACCTTGACCTTATTTTCATAGTTGATTGGTATATTGTGGTTTGGTCTATTTCTCAGATACTATAAGCAAAAGGACAACGTATTGCTATTTCACACATATTTTACTGAATATAAAATGTTTTAATTCAAATGATGTCTGATTCTTATGAATAAAGAAGACTTTTTCTATACAAATAAAATTGTATGAAAGCTTAGTTTGGACATTTTTATAGCAATTCAAAATTACTACCTATCACCTTTAGGCTTAGCATGACAATAACAATAAAATTTCTATACAAACTGTTAGACTGAATTCATAACAACATTGAAGTGGAATTAATGTCTTATAGGATTGTATGTATGCTTTATTTTATCACCTTGCACTTTCACGACTTGACTGTGGTTTTCTACAGCAGTTTGTTCAAATTTCTGACCATTTGAACAGTTTGATTTTATAAAACAAATTGCAATTTGGTCAGAATTTTGAATAAATTGCAATAGGTAGAGAGCAACACTAACAGTCAAGTCACATCAACTAGGTATATTTGGTGTATGGAGGAATCTATACTTTTAAATTTGTAGACCAAAATTTGTTAGCTGGTTTGTCTCCGAGCCGACGATTGTCTGAAGTATTATATAATAATAAATAGTTAGCGTATGTAATGTACTTTATAACTTCATATAGTAATTGCTTTAATTAGCATAGCTTAATTAATTAAACCCCAAATAAATTTCGATAGCTGGTTCCTTACCGTCTACGTTTTGTAAGCAGGCAGAAATGGTTTTGTATCTGTTTTAAGCATGCGCAAAAGGTACCAAAAAAGAAAAAAAAATATTTATCCGAAAAAGGTATAGTCTAGAATTGAAAAATTGAACTAAATCAAACTTACAGACTTGCGATATGCAAACATTTATTAGAAGAGAAGGGCGGTCGTTTGGAAATGTACCCTCAGGGCTATGCATTGTGTAATTCCTTTTGAATTCTGAGTCTGGAGCTATTTTTTTACTTATCGGCCAAGTCAGAAAATAGCTCCGGACTTGAAATTCAAAACAGATTATGCATTGTGCAGGTTGGACACCCCCCCCCCCCCCCCCCCCCCCACACACACACACAATAAACAGTACAATTAGTCTTAAGCCGTTAACTTTCTTGAATTTATGACAACTGGGCCCACGGCCAACTCGCACCACTCAAACACTCTCACTAATTATTACAACTTGCATCACTTTCTCAAACTCGCACCACTCAAAAAAAAAAAGAAATATAACAAACTCGAAGAAATGTGTTTAATCATTAGATTGTTTTCTTCTTCTGTTAGTAAATTCCTCCTTTCTCGAAGCAACTGTGTCACACAGAGACAGAACTTGCACCACTCGAAAAAAAAATACTACAAACTCGCACCACTGAAGAAATGTTTTAAATCATCAGAGAGTTCTAGATTGTCTTCTCTTAGTTATTTCCTCCGTTCTTGGAGCACCCATATCACACAGAGACAGAACTTGACTTGCACCTTTGGTAAAAAAGAAATACTACAAACTAGCACCACTGAGAAATGTTTTAATCATCAGTGTTCTAGGTTGTCGTCTTCTTTTCTGAGTTATTTCCTCTGTTCTAGGAGCACCTGTGTAACACAGAGACAGAAGCTACTAATTGGACATTCAAACTCCTATGGAAGAAGAACTGCCAACTTTATAAAAACTATCAATTTAATGCATCAGTGCATAAAAACAGTTTGAGAAACATGAACCCAAGCTGTGTATCACCATAAACATTTCAAGTAGTCTTCAAGCCGCGCTTGCGCATGTTTTTTCTAGTGATTGTAATGTTTACATGTCTGTCTTGCAGGGTTCATCTTTCCTTGATCTCATTTTCATTGTTCATTGGTCAATATTTAGTTTTCATGGTTATGTTTGTTTCTCAGATACTACATGTATAACCAAAAGGTCAACTTTATTTGGTGTTAGGAATGGTTGCATGGTGTACATGTCGTCTAATAGGGACCATCTTACCTTGACCTCATTTTTATAGTTTATTGGTCAATGTTCAGGCCTGTTTCTCATATACTTTAAGCAATAGGCTAACTATATTTGGTGTATGGTATGATTGTAAAGTGTACATGTCTGTCTGGCAGGATTCATCTGACCTTGACCTCATTTACATGGATCATTGATAATGTTAAGTTTATGCGATACATGTATCAGAACCTTTATATTACAGGCTTTCAACATAAATTCAACCATGTAAAGTACGCTAGACATTTCAGTGTGCTCTTGTTCTTCAGTTGTTTTTGTTTTCTCCTGATGTGAAAATGTATTTTTTAATTTAATTGTGTTGAAATATATAGAAAATTTCCCTACAAAAATATACACTTGTGTTTATATTAGTATAATTGTCATTGTATTAACATACATGTATTTAAATACATTTTCAAGAAGGTTATGAGGTCTAATTGTTGAACATGGCCGACTTGTTAACAAGTCAACTTGTAAGGATTTATTGCCCTTGAATTATTATTTTTTAAAGATATAGATAAGTCAACATTGATAAAAATCATCACTTAACTAATGTTCAGCTGTTACATAATTATTTTTACCCATTTTATGTGTTTTAGCTTGAAACAATATGAAATATTTTTATTGCATTTTATAACCGTAATTTTTATGCAAAAACTCCATGAGCAATTCACACTTATAGATGCATGTATTTTTTCGGAGGTTTTTTGTTTTTGTGCAGTATTTTTCTTTTTCCTTTTTACACCCTTTGAATACTATATTTACACTGTATTTTTCATTTATGTGATATTTTAAATTCAGAGCAAAGGGAAGCAATAAAAAAGAACAGTTAAATGGATTGAAGTATGAAGACATTGGCAAGTTTTTATTGTCTGGGATAACAGTGGTCAATTTGACAACTTTAGAGCCATTGTGGACCAAAGTATTAGATCTTACACAGGTAAATTATTATAATCTGGGATAACAGTGGTAAATCTGACAACTTTGGAGCCATAGTGGACCAAAGTATTTAATCTGAGAAATCTGGTAAATTTTTATTTTCATTTTAAGGGTCAACCTGACTAGTCTGGATTGAACCAATATCGTAGATCTGACGTTAGTAAATTTAAAAAGAGAATGTAAGTGGTCAGCTGTAAACATAAAGTTTTACATCGTCGTTTCATAAATTTATAATGCCCTGATATTAATTAGCATTGGCTAAAAAGTAGTAACAGGCCAGTGTTTTCTAAAATTGACCATCTAAAATATGTTTTATAACAAAATTTGACTGCTTGACTCATAAAAGTGAACAGAAAATAATTGCCATATCACAAACAAGTTAAGAATACAAAAAATCATACAGATGTAAAATATTGTGATACATTGTAATCATGGCAAATGGTTCTCCCTTGTTTGTGTATGAGTACTAAAGACTGTGGATTCATTATCAATATTTTGATACTAATTTTCGTGGATTTCATTGTTAAAGGTGAACAACAAATTTAAATGATCAACAAAGTACAAATTTCCTATAAGCATGTATGCAGACTTATGCAAAACCATGAAATCAAAAATCCACAAAAATACAATGTTCCTTCAATCCACAAAAATTAGTACCCACTATAATAAATGAATTTTTATACGACCGCAAAAAAATTTTTGTGGTCGTATATTGGTATGACATTGGCGTCGTCGTCGTCGTCGTCGTCTAGCGTCGTCCGGCGCTGTCCGAAGACACATTGGTTTTCGCACTCTAACTTTAGTTTAAGTAAATGGATCTCTATGAAATTTTACCACAAGGTTCAATACCACAAAAGGAAGGTTGGGATTGATTTTGGGGGTTATGGTACCAACAGTAAAGGAATTAGGGGCCAAAAAGGGGCCAAAAATAAGCATTTTTGTAACTTCCAGACATAACTTGTGTGTTAGTGTATGGATCTCTCTGACATTGTTCCACAAGGTTCCATATCACAAAAGGAATGCTGGGATTGATTTTTGGGGTAATTGCCTCAAAATTTTAGGAATTAGGGGCCAAAAAAGGGGCAAAAAACAAGCATTTTTCTAGTTTCATGACAATAACTTGTGTGTAAGTATATGGATCTTTCTGAAATTGTACTACAAGGTTCCATATCACAAAGGGAAAGCTGGAATTGAGTTTGGGGGTAATTGCCGAAACGTTTAGGAATTGGGGGCCAAAAAGGGGCAAAAAATAAGCATTTTTCTAGTTTCCAGACAATAACTTGTGTTCAAGTGTATGGATCTCTCTGAAATTGTACTGCAAGGTACCATACCACAAAGGGAAGGCTGGGATTGATGATGGGGGTAATTGCCTCAATATTTTAGGAATTAGGGGCCAAAAAGGGGCAAAAAACAAGCATTTTTCTAGTTTCAGGACAATAACTTGTGTGTAAGTGTATGGATCTTTCTGAAATTGTACTACAAGGTTCCATATCACAAAGGGAAAGCTGGGTTTGAGTTTGGGGGTAATTGCCCTAAACGGTTCGGAATTTGGTGCCAAAAAGGGGCCAAAAAACACATTTTTCTAGTTTCCAGACAATAGCTTGTGTTCAAGTGTATGGATCTCTCTGAAATTGTACTGCAAGGTACCATACCACAAAGGGAAGGTGAGGATTAAGTTTGGGGGTGATAAATCATAAGGGGGTTCAAAAAATTTGGGGGGGATTTTTTTTTTTTTCCTTTTTTTTTTTCTTTTAAAATTTTCCATTTTAAGTTGGTTATTTCTGATTTATATTTAAAAGCAAATAATAATGATATGGTAGGAGATACACACCAAACAGGATGTGTAAATTATTATATAATTAGTATTGTGCAATAGCAAGAAATTTTCAATTGCACAGTATTGCACAATAGCAAGAAATCTTCAATTGCACAGTATTGCGCAATAGCAAGAAATCTTCAATTGCACAGTATTGCGCAATAGCAAGAAATATCCAATAGCACAATATTGCGCAATAGCAAGAAATTGTCAATTGTACAGTATTGCGCAATAGCAAGAAATATTTAATTGCACAGTATTGTGCAAAAGAAGATACTTCGTATAAATTGCTTATTTCTTGACCAATTTCAATGGGGTTTTATTCTTGAATTCTTGGGGTTCTTTAATATGCTGAATCTAACCGTGTATTTAGTTTTTGGATTTTGGGCCCCGTTTTTAAATTGGTCCACATTGAGGTCCAAAGGGTCCAAAATTAAACTTTGTTTGATTTCAACAAAAATTGAATTATTTGGGTTCTTTGATATGCCGAATCTAACCATGTATTTATATTCTTAATTTTTGGTTCCGTTTTCAAATTGGTCTACATTAAGGTCCAAAGGGTCCAAAATAAAACTTAGTTTGATTTTAACAAAAATTGAATTCTTAGCGTTCTTTGATATGCTGAATCTAAACATGTATTTAGATTTTTGATTATGGGCCCAGTTTTCAAGTTGGTCCAAATCGGGGTCCAAAATTAAACTTTGTTTGATTTCAACAAAAATTGAATATATGGGGTTCTTTGATATGCTGAATCTAACCATGTATTTAGATTTTTGATTTTTGGGCCCCGTTATCAACTTTGTCCACATTGAGGTCAAAAGGGTCCAAAATTAAACTTTGTTTGATTTCATCAAAAATTGAATTCTTGGGGTTCTTTGATATGCTGAATCTAACCATGTATTTAGATTTTGGATATTAGACCATAATAGGTGAATGTCCAATTTAAAATTTTTAAGTTCTTAGACCACATTCATTCTGTGTCAGAAACCTATGCTGTGTCAAATATTTAATCACAATCCAAATGCAAAGCTGTATCAAGCTTGAATGTTGTGTCCATACTTGCCCCAACTGTTCAGGGTTCGACCTCTGCGGTCGTATCAAGCTGCGCCCTGCGGAGCATTTTATTATTCGTTGGATACCAATTTTTGTGGATTTCGTGGGTACAGGTGAACCACAAAATTAAATGTTCAACTAATAACAAATTTTCATTTGGCTTGTATGCAGACCTCGGCAAAACCACAAAATTAAACATCCACGAACATGCAAGTTTTCCTTAATCCACGAAAATTGGTACCCACGAAAATAAATGAATCCACAGTATATGATAATTATTGATTTTTTTTTTAGATAACAGCTGAGTTTCCTGCCTACAATCTATTCACTCCCACTGTAGTAGATATCCAGGGAGACTTCAGTCCTTTAGAGATTGTTCTAGGAACGTCAGCTGGTAATCTCTATATATTAGACCATGCTGGACAAGTTAAAGATGGCTGGCCTAAGTCCTCTGGGTCTATACATGGACAGGTGAGAAAAGTTTGATATACTGATACTTCACCTAATAAACAAATAAACTGCTCTTTGGTCGGTTTGTTGTCTCTTTGACACATTCCCCATTTCCATTCTCAATTTTATGCATTTTTCTGAATATCAACATTGGCTAAAGGGAAATAACTCAAACTAACTTGACTTGAACAGAAATCATAGAGTCACTATTTAAAAAAAATCATTTGTTTACTCTGTTGAGATTTCAAAAAAATTAAATCTATAGTCAATGCTGAGATAAGGTTAAATATATATTGGGATTGTATTCATTTTTGGATTTTTTATTTGCATTTAAAACTGTAAATTATTTCCTTTGGGTCATAACTTTGGCTTAGTTTACAAAAATTGGGCTTGAGAAATTTGACTTTTTCTACTTTACACAAAAGACATAACATCAATTATCAAAATAGCTATTGAAATAAACCAAAACTAAGCATTTATTTAGAATTTTTACAATGGATGTTCCTGTGATATTAGACAAGTCAGTGACTTGATGGTGCCCTATAGTTACCATTCTGTTTGGACACCCCCATGTCATATTAGTCAAGATTGTGACAATTAATTTCAATAATTTTATACACATTGTTTATATGTATAAAAGAAAGTTTCCTTTACATTTTTATGAAAAATTGTAGCAAAACACTTTGTTAAAAATAACAATTTTTAGAAGCATCTTTTTATGATAAGATTTCATCAAAAATTGATGTATAAAATGTTATTGGAAATAGATTCCTGTGTAAGCAACTGATCTGTAAACAATTGGTTTGGTAGCAATTGGTTTTTGTAAAATTTTGAGAAACATCTTTCTGTTTGAGGATTTCAACAAATTTGAAATATGGGTTTTAATAATTATGCCATTTCAAACTGATTTATGGTGTGAAAAATTATTTCATTTGTTAGCATGCATAAGATTAGTGCATTTGTACTATTCACAGTGTTGGAGAGTCATAGATACTCTGTTTCGTGTAAGTAAAAGGTGCATATTGATAATCTATTCTTATCCTGAATATGTATTAAATATGTGCCACTGAACATATGCAAACAACAACCATTTAATCAATTCAAATCAAAAGAATTCATATTGTAAATGTTTTTGAGTTGGCAACAAGCTTACAACGTTCACCAAAATAGAGGTCATCAAACAGCCTTCAACAATAGGCAAACACCAACCATATGGTTCCTAATGACCTTAAGTATTGGAAATTGGTGAATATATTAAGATCCAGCATCAACACCAAACTAATTTGGCTAAATGACAATCACTTAGGAGATTCTGTTGTGACTTCTCAGTCCTCCGTCTTGTATCTTGATCTTTGGTGAAACACATGATTAAACGAGAAGAGCATATTAAAAGACATCCATCCAGAACAAGCACTAAATGCAGTAATATGGGTACTATAGAGAGAGAAAATGAGCCACATGAAACACAATACATGTACTAGTTGGAATGTCAATGTATGAAAGGATGGAGGAGTAAAAAAAAAGTTTTATTCCATAATGCACAGGATCCGAAACATCAATACTATACCTCTTTCAAAACAGTAACAAGATTAAGAAGAAATAAAAAATGAAAGAGACCAAATAAATAAAGACTATAATTTATTGTTAAATTCATGAATTTCTGTGATTATGAAAAACATTTTGATTTTCAGATAACTGTAGCTGACCTAAATGGAGATGATATCTTAGACATTGTTGCCATTGATACAAGTGGTGATGTCGTCTGCTATAACTCTGATGGTAAAACTCAATGGGAGATTCAGATCACAGGGACATCTACTGCTGGCAGTCGGTTGTATGATGTCAACAATGATAATGTGTTGGATGTCATCATTACAACAAATGTTGGGTAAGCAATGTATTTCTATTGAACTTTCCAGAGGGTTTTTATATTGAGAAATCTTTCTATGAATGGTTCTATGCCATTTTAAATATAGATATATATCTTACAGTAGATTCATTATTATTTGTTGGATACAAATTTTCCTGGATTTCATGGATATAGGTGAACCACTAATTTAAATGTTTAACAAAGTAGAAATGTTTTATAAGCTTGTACGCTGACTTCGTCAAAATGATGAAATCAAATATCCACGAAAATACAATTTTTCCTCAATCCATGAAAATTGGTACCCATGAAAATAAATTAATCCACAGTATCATAAGTCAATACTGTGAAGTGGGAAATTTTTTGGAGATTTAGCCTTTTTCGTAATTAAGTTGAAAACATAAAATATCTTGAAGGAAGATCAATTCAAGGACAAGATTGTTATAGAAATCACAAAATTTAAGCTTCACTTTACCATGTTTACAGTATATTATGTTATTCATTATATTTTCATATATATATTTCAGTGATATTTTTGCATTAGATGGCATGAGTGGTCAAATATTACCCAACTGGCCAGTAAAGTTAGGAAAGAAGATATCATCCAATGTACTCATTACGAAGATCTCAACAGCACACACAACACCTGATATGGTATAGTCTTGAATTTATTTTTACATGTACCGTAGGTGTCTAAATGAAATTCATTTGATCCAGAATTTTTTTGTTTCCTTTAGACACTTGTTTTTTTTTTTTGTCACTTTATAATTTTTAAAGGAACTGGTATAAAGTGTGTGTACAAGATACAACAATAATCATAATTGGAAAAATTTCTATAACAAAGGAAGTGTGTAAACTATAAAAAAAAAATGAACAATTTTCCCAGAGGCAAAACATATAATTCGTTTGCCAAAGTCTGCATACAAGCCTATAGAAAATTTGTAATTTATTGAACATTTAAATTGATGATTCAGCTGTACTCACCGAACCCATGTAAATTGGTATTTCACGAATAATGATAACTCCACAGTAGGTTGAAAATGTAAACAACAAAAGTGATCAGCAATTCAAGATCTACAAATATGCCAATATTACTAAATCAATTGGAAGACTCCCTATATGAGTTATTACCCTTAAATGACCATTTTTGACAAATGTATGAATTTTTCACAATTGAGCGACTCGGGCTCTTAAGAGCCTCTTGTTAAATTTAAATTTGATTTAGAAAAAAACATTAAAAAAAATTGTGATTCCCTCAAACCCGTTACATTTTGGGTAATTTGGAATGGTACAAATCGTTCATGATTCAAATGGGAAAGGGGATTGGGTGTAAGTGGGAAGGTTACACCATTCAATGACTGTAGTCTGGAATTTCTTAGACTTAAAGCTGACGAATAACTATTGTATCTATCTACGTTTCAGTTAGTATTAACAGACGATGGATATCTACATGTCATCTCAATGGACCTCAAATGTAAAACTAAGTTCACATTAGGGGAAACAACTCTGGTCCAGTTGTTGGCTCATGACCTTATGGAAGGGTCAGATGGATTGGAGATATTAGTTGCCACTAACGATGGAGCCTTGATATGTTTAGGAAGCTCTCAGGGACCAACGGATATATTTATTGATGAAGAAAAAGATAAAGAAAGATTAAAATACAGTTTACAAAGTGAAACAAAAAGTCCTAATGATTTTATATATGGATATATAAAGGTATGTGGTAGAGTAAAGGTTTTACTTTCCCTATGTTTGACCCAAACGAAAAGCTTATTTACATTGATAACATGAGAAATATGAAACAAGGAGATGTGGTATCATTGCAAATAAGAAAACTATCACTAAGAGTGCAAATGATGTGGATTTAAACAACTATAAGTCACTGTATGGCCTTCCACAATGAGCAAATCCACACCATATAGTCGGCTTTAAGAGACAACAACATGTCTAAATGTGAAACAATCCAAACAAAAAAATCCAATGGCCTTTGTTTGCCAGTTGTTATTGTTTTTGATATGTTTTTGTAAGTGGCACAATGTTTGCTTTCTTATTATATCCCATGCAACAACTGTCAAAATCTTTGACGAATTTGGAAATGAAAAAGTCAGAAATAAAGGGTCTTTTTGTAAAATAAGGCATTTGCATTTTGTCAAATTTAAAAAGAGAAATTGTTTGACCAAAACCTCCAATGAATTAGTTTATAATGTAAACTAGAAATTAAAAGAAGATCTTAAAAGGAACTTATTAGAACCAAAATATTCATGGCATAAATTTTTTTTTTAAGAAATATTAAATTTTAAGGGGAGATAATTCATTCTCTTTGTTTTGAAAATGTACATAAATGCATATCAATAATATAAAAAAGAAAACTAATAAGGGACCCACTTGACTCACTGCACAAGTCAGAATTATTGAACATTTTACCATGTGGGTAAGGTACACTTTTGATAAATTGACCAGAAAAAAATCATCTTGTAATTTTCCATAAAATGTTACACTTAATTGAGTTGTTCAGGGTTGCTAAGCATGATATTTTTCTATCCATTACTGGACCCTTTTCAACCAAAACATCCATGAAAATAACTGGAGGATCCCAAGCTAGCACTTTTGTTAACGTTGTATAAAATCTGTCAATCATCACTTTTTCTTCTTGCATAAATGGAAACAAAATTATTTGCATTAACTCTATATTTTGAATATCTCTGTTTATATATTTTTCAGCCTAATCTTTACATCACACAATACAGTAGAATAGAAGAAGAAGTCACAGGGTCGGAATTTTACTTAGAATATGATATTAGTGATATGTCAAAAAAAGCAGGTCCATATGAAATCAGGGTAGGTTATATTGAGATATGGGCTATTCCATTAAAATGTATGAGGGAGAGTGGGAAGGGAAGTTTCATTTTTGGACATGGATAATAAAGTATTTATAGCATTTTGTCTATAAAATGTAAGTTTCTAATAATTCAGAATTAAATAAACAGTGAATTAACAGAAAACACATCAATGATATTTCATATCAACACTATAAGTCTGTATTCAAATCCTGTTTGATAACGATGATCAAGTTTAAAGTGTGTGCACTGTTTCAGGTTTATTTTGGATTTCATCTGTTACAAAACACAAGCCATGCTGGTCCAGGGCTTTACAGTTTAAAAGTTCCTGCCTTTAATGAACCAAGTCATGGACATATAATTGTTGTGATGAGAAACAGACATGGTATGATTGTAACAGACTCGTATACAATCAGGTAAGTTCTTAATAGCAACAGACATGGTATGATTGTTACAGACTCGTATACAATCAGGTGAGTTCTTAATAGCAACAGACATGGTATGAGTGTTACAGACTCTTATACAATCAGGTAAGTTCTTAATAGCAACAGACATGGTATGATTGTTACAGACTCGTATACAATCAGGTAAGTTCTTAATAGCAACAGACATGGTATGATTGTTACAGACTCATATACAATCAGGTTTCTTAATAGCAACAGACATGGTATGTAGCAACAGACATGGTATGATTGTTACAGACTCGTATACAATCAGGTAAGTTCTTAACAGCAACAGACATGGTATGATTGTTACAGACTCGTATACAATCAGGTAAGTTCTTTACAGCAACAGACATGGTATGATTGTTACAGACTCGTATACAGTCAGGTAAGTTCTTTATAGCAACAGTCATGTGTGCAGTGATTATAGTTCCATTGCAAAAGGTTATAAGTAAAATAGAAAATTATAAGTAGAGCTAACAAACTTATACTCTTAGTGGTATATATAATTTTCAAAGTCCAGCTTTTGCCATGGGGAAAATCCAAAAATATGTTGTTGACAAAATGCAAAGCAAATGAACAGCTAGCATACAAGTATAAAGCAGATGACACAAAAATTGTATGCTTATAAATTGTATGCTTCACCTCAAAAGCTAACAAAACCTTTAAACAGACTTATTAAGAAGGGATATAGTTACGATACTGTTGTCAGGTCATTAAAGATTGCATATTTTGACTTAAATATTGATTCACTTATAGGGTCTTTGCATCGGAATTAAACATATTTATTCTAAAACCAGTTGTTGGCATGACACGGGTTATGTTCTTCTCATATATTTTATGACGGTATAATACTAAACCCCTTACAGGAGGAATTGTGCCTGATATTCATATGATGAAGACATAATCTTTCAATCAGTTTAATTGAGGTCTGGAGCTGGCATGTCAGTAACTGCTAGTAGTCTGTTGTTATTTATGTATTATTGTCATTTTGTTTATTTTCTTTTGTTTCCTATTCTGACATCGGACTCGGACTTCTCTTAAACTGAGTTTTACTGTGCATACTGTTGTACGTTTGTTTTTTCTATATTGGCTAGAGGTATAGGGGGAGGGTTGAGATCTCAAAAAACATGTTTAACCCCGCCACATTTTTGCGCCTGTCCCAAGTCAGGAGCCTCTGGCCTTTGTTAGTCTTGTATCATTTTTAATTTTAGTTTCTTGTGTATAATTTGGAGTTTAGTATGACGTCCATTATCACTGAACTAGTATACATATTTGTTTAGGGGCCAGCTGAAGGACGCCTCCGGGTGCGGGAGTTTCTCGCTGCATTGAAGACCCATTGGTGGCCTTCGGCTGTTGTCTGCTCTATGGTCGGGTTGTTGTCTCTTTGACACATTCCCCATTTCCATTCTCAATTTTATTGTCGAGCCTGCGACTTTTGTCGCAGAAAGCTCGACATAGGAATAGTGATCCGGCGGCGGCGGCGGCGGCGGCGTTAGCTAACTTCTTAAAAGCTTTATATTTTAGAAGCTAGAATACCTGGATGCTTCATACTTTGTATATAGATGCCTTATGTTACGAAGTTTCCGTCTGTCATATGTCCAATGTCCTTGACCTCATTTTCATGGTTCAGTGACTACTTGAAAAAAAAGTCAACATTTTTTGTAATGTTAATTTCTTTCTTATTATGAGTAATAGGATAACTATATTTAGTATGTGCGTACCTTGCAAGGTCCTCATGCCCGTCAGACAATTTTCATTTGACCTCGACCTCATTTCATGGATCAGTGAACCAGGTTAAGTTTTCGTGGTCAAGTCCATATATCAGATACTATAAGCAGTAGGTCTACTATATTTGGTATATGGAATGATTGTAAGGTGTACATGTCCAACTGGTAGGTGTCATCTGACCTTGACCTCATTTTCATGGTTCAGTGGTGAAAGTTAAGTTTTTGAGTTTTGGTCTTTTTTTCTTATACTGTATGCAATAGGTCAACTATAAATGGTGTATGGAATGATTGTAAGGTGTGCATGTCTAGCTAGCAGGTGTCATCTGACCTTGACCTCATTTTCATGGTTCAGTGGTCAAAGTTAAGTTTTTGAGTTTTGGTCTTTTTTTCTAATACTATATGTAATAGTTCAACTATATTTGGTGTATGGAAATATTTTATGATCTATATGTCAGTCACGCAGGTTTTATTTGACTTTGACCTCATTTTCAAGGTTCATTGCTCAGTGTTAAGTTTTTGTGTTTTGGTCTGTTTTTCTTATACTGTATGCAATAGGTCTACTATATTTTGTGTATGGAATGACTGTAAGGTGTACATGTCTAGCTGGCAGGTGTCATCTGACCTTGACCTCATTTTCATGGATCAGTGGTCAAAGTTAAGTTTTTGAGTTTTGGTCTTTTTTTTTAATACTATATGCAATAGTTCAACTATATTTGGTGTATGGAAATATTTTATGATCTATATGTCAGTCAGGCAGGTTTTATTTGACCTTGACCTCATTTTCAAGGTTCATTGCTCAGTGTTGAGTTTTTGTGTTTTGGTCTGTTTTTCTTAAACTATAAACAATAGGTCAACTATATTTGTTGTATGGAAGAATTGTTAGCTGTACATGCCTGCCTAGCATGGTTCATCTGACCTTGACCTCATTTTCATGGTTCATTGGTCAATGTTTAGTTTACTTGGTTAATGTTAAGTTTATGTGACAGTTGTAATAAAGCTTTATATTTAGGACTATCAACATAATATAAATGATTAGTAAAGAAGGCGAGACATTTCAGCGTGTGCACTCTTGTTAAACAATATAACCTCCCATGAAAATCAAAGTACCGTAACTCCCGCCATAAACCTGGATTTTGTCAGATGTTTCTGAAGGGTAATTAGTATATCCTTACTTTACTAGTGACACCTGTTGTTTTGCCCTGTACTCTAAACCATTAATTTGTCTAAGCATGGAAACAATTGAAAAGTCAATTCTTCCAGTGGTGACATTAAAAAACACAATAATGTCTCCTGCTATAGCATGCCTCACCGGTTATATAATTAAGAAAAAATATTAGTTGGGCAGGTTAATACAGAGGATACTGCTATACTTGATTTTCATGATTTTTAAATTATTTCTTTTTTTTGTTTTACTAACATTTTATTTTGTCCAGATTTTTATATGTATTTTTTTTTATATTTTCAGATTTAACCGTTTAATTATGGAAGACTTGCAGTGGTTATTAGTGACACCATTTATAGCAATGTTAATCATTTTATTAGTTTTACATGGATTCCCAATGAAAGACTTGTTACCATATACACATCAATCCAAAACCAGATAGCACATGGCTTTCAATAGGTCTAATTTATAATTTATGAACAATCCTATCCAATGAAAGGTTGTCTTAGAAAATATACAGAAAAGTGCTACAGAGATATTCAGTGAGAAACTGACATTTTATATACCCGTGTAAAACCAGATAGCACAGAACTATGTTTTGAACTTATTATTTGTACATGTTATACAATATTATTGAGAATGAAGTGTTTTAATAATGAAAAATATATTGCTGTAAAAGAGAAAGAAGGATCCTTTGAATGAGAAAAAAAAAATAAAGCCAACTCATTGTATTAAAATGTTCGTTTATTTTTAATGTTTACATGTCTGATAGATGCAGTAGCTTTAACACTCATTGAAGTTAGACATTTTGATGAAATAAAAAAAAACAACAAAAAGAAAGCACAAATTGATCTTCACCATAGTTGTCTACCTTTCTTTGACATTTGGTTTTTTATTTCCCTTTGGTATCATCTATACCCTTTTTGTTCCCCTTTTATTCATCTTTTTTTTTGTATTTTATAGAACTCTTGTATTTTTAAAAGTGAGTTTGAAAAAAAATTGAGGAATTAAGTACAGTCATATTTTCTTTTATATATAAGTTTTTGAAATAAATAGATAATTAAATGATAGAATAATTTTTTTCTTCACACTTTTGTTGTTCAAAAAAGAGTTTATCATACAGACTTCTTTGTGCAGTTGTAAAGGAAGTTGTGGTCAAGAGATCCATCTGTAATCAGTTTTAGGATTGTGAAAAAATATAAAGGTTTTTAATTACATAAAGTCTCCTTTATTGTTTACCGTTACAATTACCTGGATCATACTCCTACATTTACTGATACTGTGTTGTAAATAGTTGTTATCATGTCCCAACGATTTTATGCCCCCGCAGTAGCGGAGGGGGCATTAAGTTTTACCCTTGTCCATCTGTACGTCCGTATGTACGTCCCAAAATTGGTTTCCGTTCTCTAATTTGTCTATAAGATCATTATAAAGTGCTTTATTTATTTCATCATTGTGTATTTTATGTGATACTGAAAAAGGTTTGATTCACTTGAATATACTCAGTCAAATATAAAATAGCAAACTTGGTCACATCACAAACCTGTTGTGCCATTATTTTCTTATAAAATACTGTATGTTTCTCTGTCATCATTTGTATTGTATAATAAATATTTTTTTTGTTGAGAAGACTGTAACTTTTAAACTTGTGTCTAATACATTGTAGTTTTTCTTGTTTTGACAATAAAATATGTTTAAATTTAATGTCGAGGAAAGTCTAAATAGTCTTGAAATCCTGAATTTTGTTCTCATAATTTTCAAAATTACAAAAATTCATAATTATATACACCAAGGGTGATGATTTTATTCCTGAAGGAGAAAACTATTTGTTTTGTCTTCAATGACTTCAGAATATTACTCACTGGTTGTTACTGTCTCTTTTTGTTTTTTATAAATTACATACCATACTATTAATTTTCAAGGGGCCTCGGTGGCTGGAGTGGTCTAAGTATTCAAACTTCTATATCACTAGCCTGTCAACACTAAGGTTGTGAGTTGGAATCCGGAACGTGGCAGGTGGGCTCGACTCCAATCTTAATTGACTAGGATTGTCATTTTCCTATCGAAGGTCGGTATTTCTCTCAAGGCACTCTGGCTTCTTCCATAAAAAAAAATTGACCACCACAAAATAACAAAAAAATGCTGAAAGTGGTGTTAAATACCAATCAATCAATCAAACAATTAATTTTGAGATTTAAAACATTTCCTGATGAGTCAACTCCTTTTCAACTGATTTTATTGTTTGTTCTAAGGTGCTATTACACCACTGCCCCAGGTTAGGGAGAGAGCTGACAAGCATATTAGATTATTTTACCCCACCACATTCTTTACGTTTCTTTTCAAGCAAGTAGTCTGTATTCCAGTGATTTTGTCATTGGTTGCTGTCTGTCAGTATAGTTTTGAATTTATGTAAATAGCTTAAATATGGTCATAGTTTTCTTTTTTGAACATTTTACACATTTTGTTATCCAAGACAATTTTATAGCTTACTATAGTATAGGGTATGCATTTTTCTTATTGTTAAAGGCCTGTAGTTATTACATTCTTTGTCTTAGGTTGACAGTTGGCCCATTGGCAGTCATACCACATCTTCATAGTTTTGTACTTAATATTTTTTCTGTCTATGAAGAAATAACATCAAAAATGTGGTCCACACTGAATAACCCGCGTAGCGGGTTATTTAAAGTGTGGACCACATTTTTTATGTTATTTCTAATAGGCAGAAAAAATATTACAGTCATTTCTTATAATTTAATTCTTAATTCCATTTTAAACCGGAGTAAATCATGAACAAACATTGATGACGTCATGGTCACATGACAAAATTATGTCTATGAGCTGATAAACAAAACGACGTCAGCCAATCAGAAGACGCGTTACATCCAAAATTAAATTATTATTGTATAAAATTAACTAACTTGATGAATCTCTGTGCAATTGAAAGCTTACTATATGTTTTGAGACTGAGAGCATGTGGAGTATTGAAGAGCATGAATAAACCCTTTAATGTTTTTCTTATAAAGTTACTTTATGTTGTTGGGTGATTGTTTCATTGTCATTTAACCCATCATGCAATATCTCTGTTTAGTCATCTTCACTTTCTTATATGAACAAGATATGACATTTTGACAACTTTCATTACAATCAATATTTGCATAATTTTCTCTTTTTCATTTTTTTTAATATTATGTGTTTAATATATAGATATAATTTTTTGTGGGATTTTTTTCATTATACAGGCACATTCCTTTATTTTTATGGTTTGTCAATATTCATTGTATATGTGTTTTAAAACCATTACTGTTAATATGAAAAAATGAGATGTGATTAAGCAACAATAGGTAGTTTTCCATTGATGTAATTTGAGTTTGATTTTTCCCTTGGTGTCAATGTTTGAAGGCAGACTGGTTTATTTTCTAAATTTACTAACTTCATTAGTTTAAACATGAAGTACAAGCAAGTCAGATAAAAGATAATTACCAGACCAAAGTAATGAATTATATAAGGCTTAAACAAATGAGGATGGTTGATAAAACAACTTTTTGAAAGTCTAGCAGTCAGTATAGCAAGTTGAAGTTGGTTGATTTATGAAGGAATTTGTGCATGTTGCCCGCCAACATGGTGACTAATGGAAATAACTCTTTCTCAAATTACATCAAAGGAAAAATATATAGAGAACTTAATGAAATCAGTTCTCGTACAAAAGTTTGATACCAATTCCAGTGTATACAACTATTAAGGTTTTTTCAATAACAATAATTGAAGTCAATTCAAAAACAAATTAACCAAGTTTTTCCTCAAAGCATGAAATTTGGGAATCCTTGAATGTCAGAACTTTTACAGAAGGTTCATTTAGATAATATTTATGATAAACATTAGGACGGTTAAAGCATTATCATCCTAGTATCTCAATTTTTGATGAAGAAAATTCTAAGCATGCTGTGATGAAATGTTACCATATTGGCACAGTGTTCAGAAATATATATTATTATCGCTATTATGTGTATTTTTCCTTTCATCTTTTTTTGTGATAAATTTTCAGAATCTTCTTTTCTAATGATTTTTTGAAAATATGTAGGGAATTTTAGACTTAAATCTCTATTATCTCAGGAAATTGACAAAAATTGATTTCTTTCTGTGTGATACAATCACTCATAGTACCCTTTTTCATGCAATGGCAAAATGAAAATTATAAACAGATGTGATAAAGTCGTTGAATTTCAACCAATGGAGGCATGAGAACCAGTAAACCAAATATTTTTCTATAAAAAAACACAGAGAAGCTGCGAAAAGGTATAATTGGGAGAAAAATTTTAGACATTGAGTTTTGCATTTTGATGTAAGTAATAAGGTCTACAGGTATTGTTAAAATAATCTTTTTGATCATGAAGTGTGCTAGTTATTAAAATGTGGTGTATAAAACAGTTGTTAGAATGTAAAACTGTTGGTTACATGGATGAGAAATAATAAAAAGATTTATAAAATGATTTTATTATTTATTTACAAGCACAGCCTGTGATGAGCACAGTTGAGAAAATACTCTACAACAATCAATGTTATATGGTAAAACATTAATAAATAAACACACCCAACAGTATACATTCATAAACAAACACAGCAATAAACATTCATAAATGAACAATCACTCCTATAAAATCAAGTTCCAGACCTGATAAAAAAAATTTAAAATAAAATCTTCTTATTTCATAGTGATTTTCTCAACAAAAAAAAACAGAGATTTTTTACTAAACTCTTTGTGTGTAATAAGCAATGACATTTTCTTTAAAAAAATTCTGAAAGAGAAAAGGTTTTTATTGTAAAAAATATTTAGAGGGCAAAATATCTATAAATATACAGATACCTGTTATATATACAATGCTAGTCAGTATCTCCAACAAGTCTCTTCATTTGATGTTTAGTCAATAAAAAAAGATGTCTTTACCTCCTTTCATGTTTTCTAAATACAGTGTAGGAAATTTTCAATAAATAAAGTTAAATTATCTCCCCCTAAATTTATCACAATTGGACAGAACTGATCTCCCTTGGCAAAATAACAATGTCTTGATACAAGCATTAGTAAAATATTTTAATGTTTCCAAAATTCTGCATCTTTGAGAATCAGATGCTTTGTAGAACAGATACTTAAAATTTGTCTTTTTATCTGTGATCAAGGGATATAACTCCTGAAAGACAAATATTACATGAACAAGTTTAATTTATTATTGTTACTGTTTCAATTTCTGTTTAAAATAGTAAGGTACACTATTAGAGAATTAATGTAACTTAATCAGAGTTCTGTTTTAGAATTATTAATAATATCCTTCATCAATATGAACAATAATGACTGTCTTTAAGCTTTTGATATATATTTCTTGTACCTGGGTATAAAAACAACAAAAATACATTTTGTACGTCTAAAGAGAAAACAACTTGCAAATAAAACTAAATCATAAAACTTATTATAAATTAAATAAACTAAAACATGAAATATGGTAAGTAAAATGATTAACCTAAAAACATTAACAATACAACAAAAATATATTCAAGCTGCCCTATAATAGATTGGTATCATAAATAAAGTCTTCAACAGTGAGACAAAAAGATTTTTGTAAATGTCATTTAGTCCTAACCTCATAAAGAATAATATGT